CGATCTCGTGGCTAACCCAATCTTACCCGCTGCTGGCTGCGTATCTCCCCAAGTTATATTATGAATTTTATATTCATCTTTTTTCAAAAAATAAATCTTTGTCTCCCTGCGGACAATCTTACTGATTAAGAATATCGTAAATTTAATAAGATTCATTAAGTATTTTGGCTAATATCTGGGATGAACGAATCCGTAATTCCCGGCCGGCCGATAGGCGTCTCCACCATGTTGCCTGTCGACCTTTAAATTATTCTCAAAATAGTGAATTATATAGGTTCTCGCAAGAAATAATAGGTTTGTTCTTTATTGCCGAACTTTCTGCACTAGTGTACACTAGTGACACCGAAGCGTTCTGTATTGCAGTGCAACGTAGAACAAACCCGTTCTTTATCGCAGGTAAGGGCCTGAGCAGAATGGCTGACTTATAACCTTAAAACACTGTTTTATGCCCTAAGTCTTTGTCTTAGGTAACGCACAATACTGTGTTAATGTTTCCTGTCTTGTGTAGTATACGCGACGTTTTAAGGAATAAACGTAAAACGTATGTTTATGTATAAACACAAATAACAATTCTATTATACAATTAATAATGAATATTTTATAAATAGTTATGACATAATACATTTTAAACTTATAAATATGTAATAATAATATTTCATATTCAAAATATATTTCAATAACTGTGAATATAACCTAACTTTTTTGTTCAAAGAAATTTATCTAATGTACTTATAAATAAAATGTTCTATTAAATTAAATATTATTTGATTTAATAGTATTATATATGTTTAAAATTTTGTTAATTATTTTTGTATAACATTTAACAAAATCTATATGTATGTATACATATATTATCTAATGTTATCTATATCCTTTTATTAATTCCTTTTAGTTAAAATGGAAGATTATCACTATTGTGAACTTAATAATACATATTATACAGACAATAAAGTGTCAAATGAAAATGAAAATAATATTTCTATAGAAGAAAAAGATGGTGATGCTTTTCTAATTGAATTATATAGAGAACGTCCATTTCTGTACAATAAAGGACACAAAGATTTTAAAAATATAATAATTAAAGATAATGCTTGGAAAGAAATTTCTAAAATAATGCAAAATAAAAATTATGGTAAATATCAAATATTTTTTATTAATATTTCTTATTATGTCTTATTACTAATATATTATGCTAATTATAATGATAAAATCTCAACATTTTTACAGGCAACTTTTATACACCTGATTATTGTCAAACTAGATGCACATCTCTTAGAAATCAATATAATCGTGAGAAACGAATAATAGATAGTCAATATAAGAGTGGAAGTGGTGCTTCAACTCATAAACCCTTCACATTTTATACGCAATTATCTTTTCTTGACAATTATATCAAGAGACGAAGGTTTATAATGATAATTGCTTGAAAATCCACATTTTAATTGTATAATATGTATATATACTTATATATTCTTATATTTTCAGAACATGCAGTAATATAAAAGCAAATAAAACTTCAACATCTACATCATCTTTAGAACTATCAACAGAAATTCCACAATCTAGTTCGAATGAAGTATTTGATACCAAAGAAAAATCAAGTCATTCTATGCACGAAACAGAAGATAATAATTTTAATGGTGAAAATAAAGAAAATATTTTAGAAGATACTCTTGAAGCACATGTAACACATAAACGCAACATTGACAAAGATTCACAATTATATGTATTACATACAAAACCTAAATCTAAAAAAAGTAAAGTCGATGAAACAAAGGAATTAGAAAATATATTTACATCGGTTAGCCAGAAAATCATCAATGTTTTAGATAACAAACGTGAAAACAATAATGAAGATGAAGCATTTACACAATTTATTGTTGCTCACTTGACAAATCTTCCACAATCTGAGAAAAATATAAGAAAGAAAATGATAACAGATGCTTTATTTTCTCCAATATAAAGCAAATGTAATATTTTTTGTTTTTAATGATTTTTATTTTTTCATAAATTATTTTTATTTTTTATTAGTAAAGTATTTTTTATTACAATATGTGATACATTACTATATGTGATATTATAAAAAAGACTGTTTCTTTTAAGTAAAATTTTAAGTTTAAAATAATATTTTCAGTTACATTGTTTTTTAAATCTAATTTAATTTTATTATTTAATACGCAAAGCAATATTTTTGTTTAAGATTTTTTATTTATGTGATAGGTGATCTTAGATAGATGGATAGATATGTGATAGATGATCTGATATGTGATCTTCAATTATTATATTAACTATACTATACTATATATGTGATATTATTAAAACTGTTACATGTGATATAAGATCTTAAAAGGTAATTTAAGAAAAATAATGTTTTTAATATATGTACTATTTTGTTTTTTTAAAAGTGAGACGTTATGATTTTATTATTTTTATTTACTTATTAATTTGTATGTGCATTAATAGTTCTAAAGCACTTTCCTTATGAACTATGTTTATTATTTAATTGCTTCATTTGTATACATTTGTAATGTATATCTTGCTAATTATATAATTATTATATAAAAAAATTCGATTTGTGGTATTTGTTGTTATTTACATAGATCTTTATTACTAGATACACATCAACTTAGATCAACTTTAAAGCTTTATTGTAAAATTGTAACAATATAGTTGAAACATTATGCCGTATGACTAAAGACAAATAATAAAAACAAAATATATAAATGACTTTCATTAATAAATAAAAAAATAATTATTAAATATAAGTAATACTATGCGCATTAATATTTTGCTTGTAATGACAATTCACTATTAAGAAAACTTTTCTTAATTGCTGCAATGTATAAACTTTCAGAAAATAATGTTAATTAGGTTGTAGAAATTAATATTAATTGATCTAGCAGTAAGGAGATAATCGGTATATAAACTTTACATATAACAATATGCAAGATCGGTACGGCATTATTGTCAAATTCTAATTATATATAACACAAGAACTATATAAAGATTCCAACTTTATCTTATTCATTTTTTTACTTAAGTAGAGCTCAGTTTAGAAATTATGTTGTCAAAAAGCTACTAAAAAATATCAAGCTATATAATTCTTGAACACATTTTTTTTTATACTAACATTTTATTAGAAAAAATAAGATTAAATAAATAACCGAAAATTAAATGTATGTGTATAGAAACCATTATTTTTATATTATTAAATATTTTCACCATATGTACCTCTTCGCACGTAATCGTATTGCCACGGTACTTCTCCTTCAGGTGATATGAAATATTTACACAATGTGTCTCTTTGTTTCGAAGCAGAAGATACGGGTTCATTATAACATAGGTTTTCCGAAAAAGACAACCACTGCATATCCTTTATAAATAAAAATAGTATGGTTAATTAAATTTAAAAATATACAGTAATTAATATTTTAATAACAATATTATATACACATAATGTATCTGCATTTATTTAATTATTTTATTATATTAATTATTAATATTAAAATTTTTTTAATTTATCAAAAGTTTAAACACAAAATTAAGTTATATATATATATATATATACTTAATTTATATATATATATATATATATATATATATTATCTGCAGAATAAAAATATTTTAATGTTTATTTTACCTGATTATTTCTATCGTTTTCAAGAAATTCAGTTGTGCTGTATAACTTTAGTTTACAGCGTTCTTCTTCAACCATTACAAAATTATGTAAGCAGAGCGATGCTGTTGTTATCAAATCGGCTGTTTTTGGCAGCATACAAATGGATTGTCGAAATATTCTCCATCTATTAGAAAATATTCCAAAGGCGCTTTCGACTGTTCGCCTAGCTCGAGAAAATCTATAATTGCATATTTTTTGTTCTTCATTTAAATTTCTTCCGGTATATGGCTTCATAATTCTCGTATTTAATGCAAAAGCATCGTCTGCCAATAAAAAAGTTGGTGTACAGATTTGACTTCCAGGTAATTTGAATGTTTCCTTTGGTAGATTTAAGTTTTCATTTTTTAAATTTTCCCCAATTAATGAATCGTTAAAAATTCCGCCATCGCTGTTACCACCGTATGCACCAACATCAACTAACGTAAATCTATATACGTGGTTTGCCACTGCCATCAAAACAATACTATAATATTTTTTGTAATTATAAAAAAGACTTCCCGAATTAGGGGGACATTGCAAGGTAATGTGTTTTCCGTCTACTGCCTCTATGCAATTTGGCACATTCCACCTCTTCCAAAATCCTTCAGCATACGACTTCCATTCTTCTTCATTTGGTTGTGATAGATACAGTGGTTGTAATACATTTATTAATATCTGACATACTTCTTTAATTAACATACGCATTGTTGATTCACCAATTCGAAATGATAGAGCGATAGACAAAGGAAGATCTCCAGTGGCAAGATATCTGAAATACATTTTTATTAAAATATCTATGTTATTAATATTATTTATTATAAAAAGATTATTAATTTTCCATTTCTCTCTCTCTCTCTCTCATTCTCTATTAAAGCATGTTTCGAGTAATAATTATTTTAGGCAATTTTTGTATATCTGACAAAAATAAAATACTATTAATACTATTTAATATATTATTCAACATTTATATTTAGTCTAGAATACCTGTTTTAGTCTATCAGAATCTGTCTTTGTTACTTTAATAAAATTTCTTTTTTATTGTTATTTCTACAAGATATAATTATTTTGAAAAAAAAAATAATAAAAAAAGAATTACTTATAATTACCTTAATACTATTATCAATCTCTGTTCTGCAGGAAATGCTCGATAGCTATTTTTTGTTAAATGAGGTTCAGTTAATTGAAGTAATTTGTTAAATAAACATAAATTCATTCTCGTATAACAAAAAAATAAATATGTATCATTTTTTAATTCTTGGTAAAGTGTCTCATAATCTCCGTATTTGTATCTCAGTTGGTTTATTGGTCGCACGTACCATCTTCTTTTATACCATCTAATTTGTTTTTTTTTTCGTTTTAATAATTTATACAAAAGCATCCATTGTAAAACAAGCAATAAAAATTGCTTATTTCTATACATCATTTTAATATACCTGAAATTAAAATTGTTTTCTGTAAAATAAATTAAATTAAATATTATACAAATTTAATAATTAACAAGATTTTTAAACATATATAATACTATTAAATCAAATAATATTTAATTTAATAGAACATTTTATTTATAAGTACATTAGATAAATTTCTTTGAACAAAAAAGTTAGGTTATATTCACAGTTATTGAAATATATTTCGAATATGAAATATTATTATTACATATTTATAAGTTTAAAATGTATTATGTCATAACTATTTATAAAATATTCATTATTAATTGTATAATAGAATTGTTATTTGTGTTTATACATATACATACGTTTTACGTTTATTCCTTAAAACGTCGCGTATACTACACAAGACAGGAAACATTAACACAGTATTGTGCGTTACCTAAGACAAAGACTTAGGGCATAAAACAGTGTTTTAAGGTTATAAGTCAGCCATTCTGCTCAGGCCCTAACCAAGTTCAGTGCAATAGTTCAGTGTACTCGCTGCCCTAGGTCTGAAGCAGGGTCAGGCAGTGCAGTGCAAGGACCGGGTAAGTAAAAATGGCCGAAAACATAAATATAAATAAAGTATAATCACAACAAATTATAAATATTAAATTAACTTATTAAATATTTAAAAAATGGGAATAATAATCTATTTAAGTAGTTAGGTAGCTAAACAGCTAGGTTTATTTATTGTTTGTAAATTGGATGTAACATGTGTAACTCATAAAAATCTATAAATAAAAAATTATACTTACTAGGTTAGTTTACATTAGATTAAATTAATTTAAAAAAAAATTAATTTTTTATAATATAATAAATATTGCATATAAAATACATACCATCGTCATCTTTACGCATAATAGGTTGAAATGGAAACAACATATTATTTTCTCATCATCAGAAGAATCAAATAAATCATTTAAGATCATCGCCATGTTGATTATTACACTGACGCGTTCTTTATACTTGCTCACAAATAACATGTCCTGCTTGCACTAGTTCCGTTCAGTGCAGTGCAGTATGAACTCAGTGTAGCAATAAAGAACAAACCTAATGTTAGCGCGAAAATTTAGGGTTTCGACCAATGGCAGGACGTCACAATGGCGACTTAATACTCGATCACAGTATATGTATAACCAGTAGCGGCACTTCGTGTCGGTTCTTTTGATGTCAGTGTCCGAAATCATGTGACATGTCGCCATGTTCTTGATAGTAATAGCGCGCTTATATTTAAATTGTGAGAAAGAAAGGCAACTATATATAAACAATTATTTTTATAATTGTGCAGACAATTATTGTATAAATAACCACAATGTATATTTTCTTGAAATACATATATTACATATGTAACATTAAAGTAACGCAAATAATCATATAAACATAAAAAAAGAAGAAATTTAACAAGTAATAATATTAAAATATACCTATGTGTTATTTAATAAATTATTTTTTTATTATGTTTGTGTATTATTTAATGAATTATTTATATTAAACAAGTAACATATTTATTATTGCCATTTTATTTATAAACATATTGATGTACATTTAGATTATTTACAATTGAAATGTATATAATGTGTAAAATTACGATAAATTCGTGATCAATGATTCCAATTTTTTGTTATACTCTTCAAAAATACGAAATCTCAAATTTTAGATGTATATAAAAATTGATAATAAATAAATGTATATAACAATTCTATGTAATTTACAATTGGTTATAAAAGACTAATTTGTTTTATATTATCAGATGTATTATTGTTTATCTGTTTAATGTACTTAAATTGATTTCTGTCTTGTTATTATGAATACGTATGAATACTTATAAGATAAGCTCCATTTTGTGGATAGGTATGTGTTGAATAATTGAACAGGAATTCAGTCTACTGAAAACAATATTAATTATAAAATAAAACACTTTTTATTAATATTTTTAATATTATAAAGTTTAGAAAAAACAAAAATTAGACATTTTCTGCATCTTTAACACACACATATATATATATATATATATATATATATATATATATATATATGTAGCAATTGTGCTCTAGAATAAATGTTATTGTAATTTTAGAAACAATTAAATTTTATATATACGTATATAGGAAATTGTCAAACAATTAATACCTTTCTGGATGAGATGGAAAGCGAAAAAAGCTCAAGTGACGACTGGAGCCGGAATTTTCATTGCAATCTTGCATTGTGCACGTGAAACCACCAACAACTACGCGACGTTCCATTATTATAACAATGTTTTTTAAAAATATTTTCAGACCTGAAACTTAACAGAGTCCTTTAATTAACTTGAATTCATTAATAGGCTATATTTATTTTGATAAACACAACCACCACTTACTGTGTTTACAACTCACTGTACGCCATATTGTGGATAGTAATCCAACGCATGCGCCGTAGCATTTCTCCGACGCTATTTTTCTTGAGTGACGCTACTGGTTATACATATACTGTGCCAGTAGCGTCACTCAAGAAAAATAGCGTCAGAGAAATGCTACGGCGCATGCGTTGGATTACTATCCACAATATGGCGTACAGTGAGTTGTAAACACAGTAAGTGGTGGTTGTGTTTATCAAAATAAATATAGCCTATTAATGAATTCAAGTTAATTAAAGGACTCTGTTAAGTTTCAGGTCTGAAAATATTTTTAAAAAACATTGTTATAATAATGGAACGTCGCGTAGTTGTTGGTGGTTTCACGTGCACAATGCAAGATTGCAATGAAAATTCCGGCTCCAGTCGTCACTTGAGCTTTTTTCGCTTTCCATCTCATCCAGAAAGGTATTAATTGTTTGACAATTTCCTATATACGTATATATAAAATTTAATTGTTTCTAAAATTACAATAACATTTATTCTAGAGCACAATTGCTACATATATATATATATATATATATATATATATATATATATATATGTGTGTGTTAAAGATGCAGAAAATGTCTAATTTTTGTTTTTTCTAAACTTTATAATATTAAAAATATTAATAAAAAGTGTTTTATTTTATAATTAATATTGTTTTCAGTAGACTGAATTCCTGTTCAATTATTCAACACATACCTATCCACAAAATGGAGCTTATCTTATAAGTATTCATACGTATTCATAATAACAAGACAGAAATCAATTTAAGTACATTAAACAGATAAACAATAATACATCTGATAATATAAAACAAATTAGTCTTTTATAACCAATTGTAAATTACATAGAATTGTTATATACATTTATTTATTATCAATTTTTATATACATCTAAAATTTGAGATTTCGTATTTTTGAAGAGTATAACAAAAAATTGGAATCATTGATCACGAATTTATCGTAATTTTACACATTATATACATTTCAATTGTAAATAATCTAAATGTACATCAATATGTTTATAAATAAAATGGCAATAATAAATATGTTACTTGTTTAATATAAATAATTCATTAAATAATACACAAACATAATAAAAAAATAATTTATTAAATAACACATAGGTATATTTTAATATTATTACTTGTTAAATTTCTTCTTTTTTTATGTTTATATGATTATTTGCGTTACTTTAATGTTACATATGTAATATGTATTTCAAGAAAATATACATTGTGGTTATTAAATAACACATAGGTATATTTTAATATTATTACTTGTTAAATTTCTTCTTTTTTTATGTTTATATGATTATTTGCGTTACTTTAATGTTACATATGTAATATGTATTTCAAGAAAATATACATTATGGTTATTTATACAATAATTGTCTGCACAATTATAAAAATAATTGTTTATATATAGTTGCCTTTCTTTCTCACAATTTAAATATAAGCGCGCTATTACTATCAAGAACATGGCGACATGTCACATGATTTCGGACACTGACATCAAAAGAACCGACACGAAGTGCCGCTACTGGTTATACATATACTGTGCTACTGGTTATACATATACTGTGACTCGATGCTCATTGGTCCAGGCGATCTTATGCTATGCGTATGCAGTCTATGCATTTTGTGTGCGATGGCCTTTAGTGCCACAATACAAAAAAGACTAACCAGTAGAATAATAAAGAACAGAGAACAGTGACGAGATTCAGTATTCAGTGAGTGTCCATCATAGAAAGAGGAAGAAGCGACAAAATCGCAGCCATGCACGCTACGTTCTGATATTAAAACGTTGTTTACTGAGGTGTATTCAACGTAGCGATAATGAATACGAAGGAAAAGGAGAAGTATATCGAAGAATTTGATTTTCCATATTGTGATGAATCTTCGAAGTATGAAAAAGTCGCAAAAATTGGCCAGGGCACCTTTGGGTAAGCACGATAAAATTTTGTATTTCAGGTTATGTAAATACGCTAAGTTTTTATGCTCGTATATCGTTATATTTGTGTAATTCGATTGAAAATTCATATCAAGTCTGTGTATAAAATCTTAAGGCCTTCACACAGAGAATTCCATAAGGACGTAAAACGTAAACGTAAGGAAATTGACCAATTTCAATCAAGTATTCAATTTCCTTACGTTTACGTTTTACGTCTTTATGAAATTCTCTGTGCGAAGGCTTTTACATGTGGATTTTTCAATGTTTTATTAGTGTTGATCTATTTGTTGACATAATTAAATTCTTTATTAAACTATTTTAATTTTTTAAAATTAAAATTAAACTATATGTATAAATATATTTATATGTAATATATATTTATATATAATATATTTATATTTAATATGTAAGTTTGCATATTTTTAAAATTTTATTTAGGCTTTTACTAAAGATTCTTCCTATGGAAATAACATTTCTTCACAAATCTACCTATACATAAGAAATAATAATCTATACATGTACCGATTAAACTTTATAAATTTATATTTTATTTTATTTTATATTTTATTTTTTAATTTTATTTTTTTATATTTTTAATTTATTTTTATATTTAAAAATTTTACATATATCAAGATCAGCGAATTCTTTGCTCGCTACTAAAAAGGAATTTAGTCTGAGCTTTATTATATAGATATTTATTTGTTTATGTATACATAATTTGACAATATGGTTTCTTAATGAAAATATGTAAATTTATCTTATAGATGTAGATTTATCTTATAGATAAAGATTTTGTTTTAAATTATCTAGATAAAAAATAAAATTATACAGTAATTTATTTAGATAATTTCCAGATAATATTATTTTTAAGACCACTTATGTAAACACTGTTATAAAAAAATGTAAATTATAAAAGAGATATAAAAATATATTCCTACTTTTATTTATAAGTTTTATCACTCACTACTTAATTCTACTGCTTAAGTATTTTTATGTGCTACGACTCAACTAAATTATCTGAACATTATTCTAGACAATTTAGTAAAAATAATACTTTTTTTTATCTAAGATACAGTTATAGATAATAGATAATTTTACCATCTATAAATATAAGATAACACCAAAATTTCATCTAAATAATTATCTATATAATTTTCTTTAGATAATGCTACTCTACTTTAGGAATAAATTTTGGAATATAAGAGTTATAAAATTTATTAATTAGAAAATAATACTTTTTTTTATCTAAGAGATATAGATTATATATATATATAGTTATTTAATAATTATTAACCAGAACTGAATACATTAGTTTGTATCATTTATTTTTTGTGGCGGTTGTGTACATTTAGAAGTTTATACTATTATTTGTATTATTTATGTATATTCTATGCTTTATTTATACATGATTATCCATACTTTTAAACAGTTTGTTATATCGCATTCTTGGATTTTTAACTGTAACTGAGCTTAGCCATATCATGAGTCAAAATATTATTATATTTAGACTATATATAGAATGTTTTATTTTAAATAACATCGCATATTTTGCTGAAACTAGGGTAATAAAAATAAAGAAAAAATATTTTATGAGTTAAAGGTTGTAACTATTAATCACAAATTATACAACTTTTTTTTAAAAAACAACTATGTTTTTTTTCCACCAATTAATTCTTCTCATTATTTTACTCATTATTTTATACAAAAATAAATATTTTACAAGATATTTTATAGTTTATGTAAAATTATGTCACACAATAATATCTCATAAACTATTCCTCTTTTAGTTGTAATTTTTATGTCAAATATTGCAAGGATTTATATAAAAAAATTTGGTTTTATTAAGTTGATTTTCAAATGATCTTAGTTAAAATTCAATATTATCATTTTTTCCTCTTTAATTTTTGTATAAAATATTTTCTCGTTATGGCTATAGTTCAGTAATATTCTATATATATGTGTAAATATCGACTATACATATTAAAATGAAAAACACAGTTGCTTAGTATTAATACAATTTGAACCTTAATTATTAACTAAACGCATCTAACTCTTTATATATCTAATTTTAATTTCTAATATTTAATTGTTCTACAGAGAAGTGTTTAAGGCCAGAGACAAGAAAACGAATAAGAAGTTTGTTGCGATGAAAAAAGTACTAATGGACAATGAAAAAGAAGGAGTAAGTTTATACTATTTTTATAAAACTTTTTTTTTAATACAATGACAAGACTGAAATATTCCATTTATATTACAATTTTCTTGACTCTGAATATGATTCTAGTTTCTACATTGTCCCATCATGTCACAATTTTGAGAAATTTGTGTTCAAATTATAAAAAAGGGTTATTTTTGTTTTTTATCAAATTTTATTGCAATTAAAATTAAATACATTGCTAAGTTAGAAAAGTTATTTTAAGAAAAATTATTTTATAACTATTTTAATTATTTATAGCATTTTTTCTGAAAATTCCTATGTAATTTGCAATTAGCAGTAACATTTTTTTAAACAACTTTTTTATATCAATTCTCATTATTTTATGCATAAAAATATTGAAGAAAATATTAATAAAACTTTATTCAATATTAATTAAGAATTTAACAAGGCTCTGTAATATAAATATAAATTTAAAGTGTAAGACAGGCAATAAGAGCCAAATCGCGGATGACAGTGCGTTATCCCAACGAAACTAAAATTTTTTCGTTAGAATTAAATACCTGTGCACAAGATACCAAATTTTACTTGGTCACGGCCAAGATTTAAAATTGGAATAATCTCTACAAGAGATTTAATTCCATATATCCCCTCTTCCCCCCTAAGGAATAAATGCGAGAGAAAAATATAGATCCGAAAGTCGCTGAATCGGGAATCGAACCCGAGACCTTTCGCTTGCCGGGTGACTGCTCTTCCAACTGAGCTATTCAGATCCTTTCGATTCAATATTTCTTAATGTTGTGTAATGTTTCTTAATGTTGTGTTTCTTAACTTATTGCAATTACATTTTTTGTTGTAATTTCTTTTAAAAATGATATAAAATTTTGTTGCAGTTCCCTATTACAGCATTACGAGAGATAAAAATATTACAATTACTGAAACATGAAAATGTTGTCAATCTTATAGAGATTTGTAGGACACGAGGTAAATAATACATTTTACAATCATTAATAAATTATAAATATGTATATATTATAGTATATTTTTCATAAACTTTTCTATAACATATATATATTTGAATTTATAATAAGAAAAAAAATTAATTTGAAAAAAAAATCAATTTTGTAACTTTCTTCTATTGTTTGTGAAAATAAAATATAAATAATATCATTTATCAAGATACTATTATTCTCACAATTTTATAAATTTTTATTCTTAAAATTTTTGTTTCGTAAAAATAATTATTAAATACCTAATGTTGATATTAAATTGATATACGTATAAATATTAATATATAATTTCAAATTTCTCTCTCTAAATATAATTAATTTTATAACTTTTATATATTTTCAGCAACCCAGTACAATCGATACCGTTCTACTTTTTATCTAATATTCGATTTCTGCGAACATGACTTGGCTGGTTTGTTGTCAAATGTAAATGTGAAATTTAGCTTAGGGGAAATAAAAAAAGTCATGCAACAGTTGTTAAATGGTCTTTATTATATACATAGTAATAAGGTAAGAAATTATTATACACATGTTCTATTTTTTTATAAGTCTAATTAATAGGAATGCTTTATTTATTTAATAAGATTATTTTATTATTTTATTACCAAATGATAAAATTTTACACTTATTGTACATTCAATAATCTAACTAAATTCAATAATATATTTAATATGATTATTTTTTAATGGATTAATTTATTATAACGATAACAATGATGTTGATGATACCAATCATGATTGTTATTATATATTATTATAAATATTTATATATATATATATATATCATAATACTATATATTATTGTCGTAATAACTAATAACGATAATAATGCATTATTTCATATATTTCAGATTTTGCATAGAGATATGAAAGCTGCTAATGTTCTAATAACAAAAAACGGTGTACTAAAATTAGCTGACTTTGGCTTGGCACGAGCATTTAGTACAAAAGGTTCGAATCGTTACACAAACAGAGTGGTTACTCTTTGGTACCGACCACCAGAGCTTCTACTTGGTGATAGATGTTACGGACCTCCTGTGGATTTATGGGGAGCTGGTTGTATCATGGCGGAAATGTGGACAAGGTATGTATTTTCGCCTTTCCGTCTGGCATGATTCCTGTACGTAACTGTATAATTGTATAAATATACTATTCATCTCTACAGGTCTCCTATAATGCAGGGTAACACTGAGCAGCAACAGCTTATATTGATCTCACAATTGTGTGGCTCGATAACGACTGAGGTGTGGCCTGGAGTTGAGAACTTAGATTTATTTAACAAAATGGAGCTTCCTAAAGGACAAAAAAGAAAGGTAAAATACATACAGGGTGTCCAATTTTGAACTTTTATTTTTCCTACAACAAAATGTTTCAAACAAAAGTTGATTAATTTAAATGGGGACAGGAGATGATGCTACTGACTTTTTTAAATGGCCAAAAAATGTTTAAGAGATATTTTATAACTTGTTTAACAATTTTTTACATAAACTATAAAATATCTCGTCAAAATATTCAATTTTCAATAATCTTAGCTTAATACATTTAAACACAAAATAATAAAAAAAAGGAAAGGAATCAATTGATGTAAAAAGACAAAAAAGCAGAGTTGAGAAGTAACGCGTTACTTGTAACGTTGTTACCGTTACTTTTTTTCAGTAACGATCGTTACTTTTTTCTATCTGTAACGGTAACGGTAACGTCGTTACATTTTTACAGTAACGGTAACGAATGAGCCGTTACTTTTATCGTTACTTTTTAGTTCTTTCTGAGTTAATATCAAATTAATATAATAAATAATAAAGATTACATGCAATAAATGCAAATAAATATTTAATATTAAAAAATGCTTCTTATATATAATTATACATTTTAATAATAATAGGCTCTAGCATTACAAAAACCGAAAATGTAACGAAAAAGTAACGAATCGTTACTTATTGAGCAACGGTAACGCATGATTTTTTAAAATCAGTAACGAGTAACGGTAACGCGTTACTTTTATAGAGTAACGGTTGCAACTCTGCAAAAAGTATGTAATTTGCAACTAGCAGTTACTAACTTTTTTTAAAAAACAATTAAGTATTTTTTTTATAATTGATTTCTCTTGTTATTTTGTGTATAAAAGTATTGTTGTGTGAGGTAAGATTGATGAAAAATGTATGTTTTATAAGATATATATATATACATATATATTTCATAGTTTATAAAATATGTAAAATTCAAATATTTTGTAAACTATATATTTGTTGGCCATCTTATCCTTATAACTTTTTATAGTAAATATTACGAGGAATCAATTTATATATAAAAACAATTGAAGCGAAGAAAACAGGAGAGCCAATTAAGAGCCAAGCGTGGTAATTAGTACGCTAGTATAATTTTGAATAATTCTATTTTATATATTTGTTAAAATATTCTATTTTATATATTTTTTAACAAATATTTGTTAAAAAATATATAAAATAGAATTATTCAAAATTATACTAGCGTACTAGTATACTAATTACCACGTGTGGCTCTTAATTGGCCCTCCTGTTTCCTTTACATTATATTGATTATTTGAGCCATATATTTAGAATAACAATTGAAATAGTTCCATTTAATAAAATATAATTGACCTTTAAATAATCTTGAAAATTCACCTTTTACAAAAAGATACTTTTTTAAAAAATCTTTGCTGAAACTATTTTTTGTATTTAATTTATTTTATTTTTTTGTATTTCCTTAATTTCAAAGATATTCGCCTGGGAAAATTAAAATGAAACCTGTATAATTTCAATCAAACAATTAGTTTCTGCAATTATATGATTTTATATATGTACAGGTGAAGGAAAGATTAAAGCCGTATTTGAAGGACCCTTACGCCTGCGATTTACTAGACAAACTCTTAATTCTTGACCCTACCAAGAGATGCGATTCCGATTCGGCGCTCAATCACGATTTCTTCTGGACTGATCCGATGCCATGCGATCTCAGTAAAATGTTGGCGCAGCATACTCAAAGCATGTTCGAATATCTGGCACCACCGAGACGACCTGGCCACATGCGTCATCCGCACCATCAAGTACCTGGGGGACCAACCAAGTCGAGTTCCAGCATGGCCGATAGTGGATACCAAGATCGCGTTTTTTAGTACAATAAATGTGATTACAATATTTATGTAATATAAACATTTTATAATTTATATATGCATATATATAAATTTTTATATGAAAGATTATTTTGTAGTTACAATTCCATCTTGACTTTATATTTGTATATAATTTTCATATTTGGTTATTCAATTTATTTTCTTACATATCTATCTATAATTACATCACTGTTGTATATATATTCTTCAAATCGACTTTGCAACTAATAAATCGATATTGTTAAATGTCTCACAATCAGACATATTTTCTATACTTTATTTAATAGATAAATATTTATCTTTATAAATATATTTATAAAGATTATAAATTATACTTTAAATGAAATATATAATACTTTAAAATATGTTATATATATTTTTTTTTTAATTTTATATAATTTTTATAATTATATATAATTAAAGAACGATATATTTAATTCGACCCAAACTAGCCAAGAAATTTTTATTTTATTTCCACAACGTTTCGACCATCTGTTTTTGGTCCTTTTTAAGTGAAAAACTAGAATGGTACAATTAATTAAAATTAATAAACATTTTTGATGTTAAACGCAAGAATTAAAAATTTAAAAAAAAAAATTTTATATACTCAGTTTTTTGACGATCCATCATAACGATAAGAATCGGTTACTTTCTTTCAAAAGTTTTTTCAAAAGTTATTTCAAATGTTTAAAAAAAAAAAAATTCCGATAATCATATTGTTTAATAATCGTGACAACAGTGTCAACTAACTGCGCCTTTATCAATGAAATATGTAAAAAATTTTTAATTCTTGCGTTTAACATCAAAAATGTTTATTAATTTTAATTAATTGTACCATTCTAGTTTTTCACTTGAAAAGGACCAAAAACAGATGGTCGAAACGTTGTGGAAATAAAATAAAAATTTCTTGGCTAGTTTGGGTCGAATTAAATATATCGTTCTTATTTTAAATACCACTAGCGACGTTTTAAGTATTCAATTTGATTTTATATAATTTCTTAAAATACTTTTTCAAATTTAATATTTGAAATTTAAAGCAATTGTATTTTTTTTGTAATTGTATGAGTTGGAAAATCTTAAAAAAAAGCGGACATTTAATATAAAAATTTGTATCTAAAAATTTTTAATTTTATTTGGAATTTTGAAAACAAATGTCTGGCAAAAGATTAGGAAATTTTATTATAATATTTAAAAATAGACATCCTCTCTCTCTGTTTTGATCATACAAAGTATCAGACTATTCTTAATAAGTAACATTTATAATAAGCAAGCAAATTTATAATTTTTACAGATTGCTTTATCATCATATCTCGATGTCAGCATGATTCTTTATTGTTAACACGCGATACATGCGATGTATTGTTTTTAATTTATTGTCTAGTTCTATTTCATTTTTGTTATAGTAAGATTCATTTTGTCTTTACGCAAGCTATATAACTTTTGGTAAATATCTCCTTTTAATATTATTTATTTTTATTTATTTATTGGTATCATTATAATACTAATTGTTTTTTAATTATTATTTTTTTAAATATAATTATATATAATTATATAAAAATTTAGATGTTGCATCATAAAGAAAATTAAATATCACACATAGTTTATTTAATAATTTCTGATTTATTTCTTCATATATCTTATTTTCATCTTTTTATCGATTTTACTATTTATTATTTATATTTATTTTTTTAAAAATCAATACAAAGTTTCGTTCGTATATTGTAAATACAACTAGTGATAGATAAAAAGGCCAACTTATCGAGCAATTATTAGAGTTGTTCTGTCAAATAAAATTTATTCCATGTATAAACTAAACATAAAACATTATGTGAAAGCTACAAACATTCTATACTTAAACTTAAGCGAAAATTACAATCATTATAAAATAAACGTTTCAACCGCACGCGGTCTTCCTCAGTATTATATTACAGTAATTATTAAAAAATACAAAACCATACAAAAATTCTACATAATATCGAAAATTAATGTTATTAGTTCTTCAATAAAAGTCGAGAATTTATAAGCAATTAAATAAAAATTGACGATTAACGTATGTCAAAAATTAAAATATATATCCTTAACAATTAGCAATATGCTTACTTGATATCGTCCTTCTTGACAATAATTTTAACTACGTTTTTTTGAAAAAGTTATTGAAGATGACACAAGACAAGACCAACAATATAAAAAGACACCTCACTTCAAACTCTACTTAATCGAAGAATGTGCGTGTTTATATATGATCTAATACCTATGTTTAAACCGTTAATGTCTTATTTGTCTTATTATTATTTATTGTTTGCTAATTTATCCAAAATATCAAAATAAGACTCGAGTAATTCAGTATCTTTGTTTAAATTTAGCCCATTTGTTTGTTCTTTAATAATATGTAGCATCTCAGAGATGAATCTTTTATAATAATTATTTTCGTTGTCCAGAATCTTTACGTTATCCCAATTAAATGTATGGTGTTCATTTCTTATGTGTTCAGAAATTACTGAATATTTCGTTAAGTCCAACCTGATATTATTTTTATGTTCTTTTATTATGGTCTACATCTTATGTAGGCCAAACGAGGAGGCAATTACAGACGAGACTAAAAGAACATAAAAATAATATCAGGTTAGACTTAACGAAATATTCAGTAATTTCTGAACACATAAGAAATGAACACCATACATTTAATTGGGATAACGTAAAGATTCTGGACAACGAAAATAATTATTATAAAAGATTCATCTCTGAGATGCTACATATTATTAAAGAACAAACAAATGGGCTAAATTTAAACAAAGATACTGAATTACTCGAGTCTTATTTTGATATTTTGGATAAATTAGCAAACAATAAATAATAATAAGACAAATAAGACATTAACGGTTTAAACATAGGTATTAGATCATATATAAACACGCACATTCTTCGATTAAGTAGAGTTTGAAGTGAGGTGTCTTTTTATATTGTTGGTCTTGTCTTGTGTCATCTTCAATAACTTTTTCAAAAAACGTAGTTAAAATTATTGTCAAGAAGGACGATATCAAGTAAGCATATTGCTAATTGTTAAGGATATATATTTTAATTTTTGACATACGTTAATCGTCAATTTTTTATTTAATTGCTTATAAATTCTCGACTTTTATTGAAGAACTAATAACATTAATTTTCGATATTATGTAGAATTTTTGTATGGTTTTGTATTTTTTAATAATTACTGTAATATAATTACTGAGGAAGACCGCGTGCGGTTGAAACGTTTATTTTATAATGATTGTAATTTTCGCTTAAGTTTGAGTATAGAATGTTTGTAGCTTTCACATAATGTTTTATGTTTAGTTTATACATGGAATAAATTTTATTTGACAGAACAACTCTAATAATTGCTCGATAAGTTGGCCTTTTTATCTATAACTAGTTTTATTTTTTTTATTTATTATTTGTTTTTAATTATACATTATTTAAATAGATTATTACAGCAAAGAAATGATATATATATATATATATATATATATATATATATATATATATATTTCATTTTTATGTATTGCCCATATAGCACAAAATATTATAAATATTTTCAAAAAAATATTTCTAAATATTTCTATAAATTGCATAAAAACATTTTAAAATAGTGTTAGGAATATTTTAAAATAATTTAAAAATTTTTTGTGGTAATATTTTTTAGAATATTTTAAAATACTTTTAAAAATATTTTTTAAAATGTTCTTTTTTATCACTCATTGCAGATAATATTTTCTTAAATATTTGATATGTATTTTTGAAATATTAAGTTTAAATTTATATATATATATATATATACATATATATATATATATATAGTCAAAAATATTTCTGAAAATATTTTAAAGCATATGAACATAGAAACATTTTAAAAATATTATTGAAAATTATTTAAAAAAATTTTTTTAGTGTTTTGTGCTGTATGGGTGGTTTTATTATAATATTTATATTGTTATATTTATATAATTTTTTACTATATATAATTATTATATAATTTTATTATAATTATAATTTATTATAATTTTATTTTAATATTTATTGTTTATTTATCCCAGTAAGCAAAAATCATTACTACAACGTTATTATTGCTGTCAAGTATGTAGTTGTTAACATTGTATGCAACATCATTATGAACAAACTTTGACATTGATCTAGACTATCTAGAGGTTTCAGTAATGTTGAAATTAATGTTTTTAAAATATTTTATTAATATTTTGAGAGCATTATGTTATTAAATAATATTTTTAAAACATTTATAAAATTTCAGTTAAAACATTTTTTAGAATGTTTATTAATAATATTTTAAACATATTTATACAACATTATCATAACATTTGGAAAATTTATACAAAATCAACATTATAAAATGTTGATTAAATATTTCTTGCTTACTGAGATATTTTATTGGTTTTATTATAATATTATTATTCTTTAATTGTTATATATATATTAATTAAATAAATGTGTATAAAGATTTAAATATAGATGCTATTCATGAAAGAAATTTTTATTAACGAAAAACAAAAGTTTCTAGTCTATATAATTTCTATGTTCTATGTTCTAACTAAGATAAACGTAACCTTAAATTATAACCTGAAGAAAACAGCGATGTGATATAAAAGTATTGAAGTATTAATTAAACGATGTTATTCGAAGACTTTGATATAGATTTTTAGTTAAAATAACGATATCATTTTTAATAGCACGTCAAGAATATGACTGGATTATTTGCAATTTGCATAATCTTCTTAATCTTTTATTGTTTTTTCACCCGGTAAGTATTGAAATTTATATTTAAAAAAAAACCAACATAAAATATATCATATAATTATTCTGTTTAATAGGATAGTACCAAGATTATTAGCATGGATAGTAAAACGTTGTTATAAAATTCATTTGCAAGTAGGCCACATTTCTTTGCCTTATTTTAGACTTCGTGACGTCAATATAACTAAAAATGGTTTTACACTGGTGAGTCATTCAAGTCATTATGCAAAAAAAACTAAAATACAATATTTAACTATAATATTTAATTTCAGCAAGTTGAAGAAATACGCATACGCAGTAGTTTCTTCAGCAGTGATGTAGCAAAATTACTAGCCGTTGTTATGAAGGATGTTAGAATAAATAGGGATGTTCACCCAGCTTGTAAGATAAAACAGTCCGATGAACTGTTAGATTTTCGAAATAAGAAGATACCTCCAATAATAATCAAATCTGTACAGGTAATAAAATCCCAAGTAACAAACTAACATCATTAAACATCAAAATAATGTCATTTTGATATCTCATGACATCATTTTATGTTTAATGACATCATTTTGATATATCATGACATTTTTATGTCTCATAATCCCAAGTAGCAAACTAACATCATTAAATGTTAAACTGATGTCATTTTGACGTCCAATGATATCAGTTTGACGTTTAATGACATACTTGCTTCCTGGAATATATAGATTTGATATAGATAATATTATAGTTTTATTTTTTATCATAGAATTATGTTGTATGGAATATGGGGTGATTTTTTATTAATTCTTATATATTTATTATAGTTTATGGCTGTACATGTAGAAAATATAAGCGTACTAATTCTTGGAAATGGCTGGTTGGCTAATGGAAATGCAGAAAGCTTGAGCCTGGATGCCAGCATCGTACATGGTGCGTGCACACTTTTAGCATCCGCCACTATTGTTGGTGGAACTATGAAATTACTGCAACATGCTTCCGATGCGTGTCTTTCCCAGGTAACATTTGCTGGGACAGTTGAAGCTACCTTCAAAGCTCAAGGAGAACTCTCAGTTGAGGTACAACAAAAGTTTTCGTTTTTTAATACTTGAATCTAAATGCAGGAAAAATCTTTTGAAAATAAATATTTTGCTAATATAATATACAGAGTATTCTATTTTAACTTAGACACTCAAATATCTCTAAAGTGATGTAAAGAAAAAACACATAGTTGTTTTTAAAAAAAGTATGCAACTGCATGTTGCAAATCACTTTTTTTTTTAACAATTATCTGTTTTCTTTATACCAATTGATTGCTCTAATTATTCCGTGCATAAAAGTATTAAGGTAAAATGACCAGAAATTGAATATTTTACAAGATATTTTACATTTTATTATGTTAAAAAATTGTTAAATAAACTCGAAAAGTACTTTATAAAAATATACTTTAATATAGTGTTTTGGAAATCTCTTGAGATAAGCTATAAGAATATACAATAAAAAGTGGAGGTTCATGATAAAGAAGTGGAAAGTGACCTACAAATGATTATTCAAGGTTAAATTAATGTCTAAGTTAAAAAATAGGGCATCTTATATACAAATTCTGTTTTATCATTTCACAATAGTATTTTTAATAAACAAATCTATCTGATTTACAGACATTATGCATCGGAATAATTCAGACCGAAGGATCCGGTGGTGCGGGTCTCGTTCAGTTTTTGAAAGATAGAAGAACGTTAAATACTACGACTTATACATCTAGTGATGCAGATAATGATCCTTCTAATAACTTGATGACCAGGATAGCTCCTATTTTACCCAAAGTAAGCACTTTTTACTATAGATAAATTAATAAATGTGAATTAGAGAGACATCAATAATACTTTTTAGGATTTTACATTGAAAATCGGCAATTCGTTAATAATAGCTGGTAGGGAAGACAGCAATATGATAGGTTTGGAAGGTACTTTGAGGAGTCTTCAAGTTCATGCAAAATTTCAAGCTGATAGAACACGATTAAACTTTACTGTAAACCTCGACGGTCTGTGCATACGTGGAAAACTTCCCATTTTGACCCTACATTCAATGTCAATTGATACAAAGGTAAAAGTTAAAGAAGTATATTAACGAAAATAAATTAAGAATGCAATTAAATTACACTTGTTTAATTTTTGTATTCAGCTGGAGGAGAATATCTCATTTATCTCTATACAACTGAACACTCTTTCGATAATGTACGATCATAAGGACTGGGAATCGTTGCTATATATTAATGAAAATAATATTTCGAAACCTGTCAGCAATATATCGTTCAAGAACAGGTTACCGAATTTTGAAGTAACGTTAAATACCGAACTGTATGATTCTTCATTGAATATAAAATTGCCGGATGTACAAGAGGCAGCTTGCAGCGTCACGCACATGAAATTTTCATTGAATTTATCTACAGGTGCCTAAATTATTTCTTTAATTAAATTTTTTTATTGAATTAAAATATATGTATACATATATATTTCTTTAATAAAAATTATATATATATATATATATATATATATATGATCCCCCACCCACTGGTACGCGGGGGTAAAAGGGGAGTTGAAAATTTTAAATTGGACTAAGGGTCGAGTGGGGGCTCAGTCATAGCAACTTAAAAAATTAAGGGTGTGTTTGTTACGAAAAGACCTTTCAAATGAGCCCCCTATTCGACCCTTAGTCCAATTAAAAATTTTCAATTCCCCTTTTATCCCCGCGTACCAGGGGGGGGGGATGATCAATATCCATGTCATAGGGTAGCTTTTTTAAAAAATCAAAATACGTGTTTTACTGTTTTTTGATATTTTCATTTTTACAGAAATTATTTAGGGTTTTTCACACTTTTGACAAATCCTGTATATGTGTGTGTGTATATATAGATCAATATTATGTATTTTATTATGTCTTTTATGTCACAGAGAAAACGGAAAATTTAAACACAGAATTAGTCTTGGAGTCTTTATATTGTACTTTAAATGGTGCCAATGGTAATATCTCAGAAACGTCTCATCAATGGGGCAGTCCATTGTCTATAGGAGTATTGTTAGCAACAACCCATAATAATGCTATAGGAATTGCAGTCGACGCTCTTGTGACAGAATGGAGTTTGGAACTTGCAAAATTTCTCGAACAAGCCTACAAGTAATAATAAAACTATATTTTATACAATATTAATAATATAAAAAGAAAACATACATATAAAAATAAAATGATTATAGGTGCTACAAAAAGTATGAGCAACCAGTGGCGAAGAAGCAAGTTACAGTATCTTATAATCCTATCCAGTTGAATCTGAAAGTAACAAATTGCAATTTATTTTTTATTGCAGAAAACAAGCGTAAGTTTAGAAGGTGTTTTATTTTAATACAGTCGAATATTGCTAAAATTAAAAGTGAATAGCTTATGAGATTATATATTTTGTACTTTAATGTGATACATAATTTTATATAAACTATAACATTCATTTTCTAATGAAATCTTACCTCAATACTTTCGCACATAAAATAATGAGAGGAATCAATTAATATAAAGAAAACGTATAGTTATTTTTAAGAAAAAAATAGGTAACTGTTAGTTGCAAATTATAGCTTCTTATACCAAATAATGTGAGGATTTATATAAAAAAATAGAGCGATTTTATCATAAAAAAAGTTGATCTTCAAATAACTTTCAAACCTGGCCTTTCTGATCTTCAAATTTGACCTTGGAAAAAAAAAAGACTAGCAATATTCGACTGCATAAATTAAAATAAAACATGTAAAAATTTTTCTTACATCTATTTCAGTGTCCATAATGACGCGTTTAGACATAGCTACCTTGGAACAAAGCACAAAGCGATTCGTGGGTGTGGCTGAAGGGATAAGCGCGATAACCCTTAACAAGGACGAGCCGATTATGTGTCAACACGCGCAGGCTGTGACCCATCCGTTTTTAGCGATACGAAAGTGCAAAGCCGCAATTACATTCGATGCGGTAAACATCAGTCTCGAAGGAACTAATCTAGCATGGAGCCCTAATTTACATCTTCGTTTATTGCAAGTCTGGAGGGAGTCTAAAGATTTCAGGTCTATCGTCATGAACGAAATTAGCGCGACTCGTATCGAAGGTAATGATAAATTTATTTTATTGCATTAAGGTAATCCTAAAGTTGTCTGTTTTACTGTGAAAAGTGAAAATGTAATTTACAGCTACAGTTCCTCGTCACGGTCATGTTAGATTGGGTGCGTTCCGTTATGCACTGCAAGTACTGGCACTATGACGTCATGCAAGTGTACTGTTGACAGCGTTCCTTTTTAATTTTGTGCACTTTGAAGCTACTGCAAAATAGTAAAACGGAACGCACTACAGTACGCTTTCAGCAGACTTTAACTAACCTTTTTCGCTAATAATCATCGAGTGAAAAATTGGTGAAATGGATAATACCATTATTGCATTAATTACATATAATTTAATCGAGAATATATGATTCGAGTGAGTCATCAAGTGAAAGCGATTTGGAAATGGAATTAATAAATGAAATGAGACGACAAATTAAAATACCTAGAATAAAATGTAAAAATTACGTTAAAATATTGTATCATTGTATTCAGATATGGAATTTAAAAGTTAGTTCCACCGTACACATGGAGGTAGCCATCTTGATTACTGCGAGTGCTTTACCTCGCCGGTTGCAGTAATCGCAACAGGAAATAACGTCAAAATTAATGACGTCATATACTCATGATAGTACTTTCGCAGTGCACTGCTATCTATATCGGAACGCTATTGGTAGTACTGTCAGTACTTGCAGTGCATAACGGAACGCACCCATTGTGTCAGAATGACGTCATGCGCAGTCATTCCGCATGACAAAGGGTGCGTTCCGTTATGCACTGCAAGTACTGGCACTATGACGTCATGCAAGTGTACTGTTGACAGCGTTCCTTTTTAATTTTGTGCACTTTGAAGCTACTGCAAAATAGTAAAACGGAACGCACTACAGTACGCTTTCAGCAGACTTTTAACTAACCTTTTTCGCTAATAATCATCGAGTGAAAAATTGGTGAAATGGATAATACCATTATTGCATTAATTACATATAATTTAATCGAGAATATATATGATTCGAGTGAGTCATCAAGTGAAAGCGATTTGGAAATGGAATTAATAAATGAAATGAGACGATAAATTAAAATACCTAGAATAAAATGTAAAAATTACGTTAAAAATATTGTATCATTATATTCAGATATGGAATTTAAAAGTTAGTTCCACCGTACACATGGAGGTAGCCATCTTGATTACTGCGAGTGCTTTACCTCGCCGGTTGCAGTAATCGCAACAGGAAATAACGTCAAAATTAATGACGTCATATACTCATGATAGTACTTTCGCAGTGCACTGCTATCTATATCGGAACGCTATTGGTAGTACTGCCAGTACTTGCAGTGCATAACGGAACGCACCCAAAGTCTAATATCATAATTTTATGATTGTTGATTCACTGTCACGGGAAAAAAGTAATTTTCGAGATATTTTAAACCCAAGTAGCAAACAGACGTCATTAAACGTCAAATCGACATCATTAAATGTCAAAATAACATCATTTTGACATCTATGATGTCATTAAACATCAAAATAACGTCATTTTGACATGTGATGTCATGAAACGTCAAAATAACATCCCAAGTAGCAAACAGACGCCATTAAAAGTGAAAATGTTGTAATTTTGCTACGAGAGATTATTTTAACATCTATGACGTCATTAAACGTCAAAAGAATGACATTTTGACATGTACGATGTTATTAAATGTCAAAATAACGTCATTTTGACGTCTATGGCGTTATTAAACGTCATTTTGACATCTGTGATGTCATTAAACGTCAAAATATCTATAATGTCATAAAATGTCAAAATAATATCCCAAGTAGCAAACAGACGTCATTAAACATCAATATGACGTAATTTTGACATATATGACGTTATTTAGATATTTATGACATCATTTTAATATCTATGACGTCATTTTGATTTCTAAGACGTATTTGAACGTTGAAATCTGAAGTAATGTTTCATTGAAATATCTTTTCATTTAAAAATCTAAGAATTTTCAGCGTGTACTTTCTCGTCTTTAACGTTACAATTTCAACATAATTAGTGAAGAGCTAGGAGCCTTAAACATATAAAAACATCACGTTAGAAAACAAAACGTTTTGAACAAAAGTTTAGTTTTTAGGAAAGAAGTTGATAATCTTGAATTTTAACTAAGATCATCTCAAGATTATTTGAAAGTCAACCTGATTAATTAATTACATTCTCAATATTCTTCAGATATATAAAGCCACATTATTGCAATATAATTTTTTTATTTCATTTTCAGAGGTGCATAGGAAGAAACGCATTCTGGACTTATTAGCCACTAATGGAATCACGGTTTCTATCGACATCTCCACCAAACACTTCCTGATCCTGAGATCCGACCAATTACGCTGGTCGCAAGGCGAGTGGAGGCTCACGTATATCCGAGTTACCTTGAACATCGCTGACGTGATCATGATCGAAGGCTTCGAATTTGTCAGGGTGCTCGAAAACGAGGAGGTGCGAGCGGAGAGGCAGAGCAACGAGGGCTTTGTCCTGGATTGGAACGAGTGCTGGGCACTGAACATTGACTCCATCAAGATCTGCTTCCCCTACGAGCACGAGTTCACGAATGCGATACAGAACGAGCTGTTTAGCATCAGGAAGTGGCTGAAGGAGATCCATTTCTCGCCGAACGCGCCTAAACAGACATCCTTGCCTTATGACCTGATCATCAAGATCAAGGAGTGGACATTCGAGCTCAGCGACGACCCGTTCGAGGTGCGTTTGCGCGACAATTACGAATTACTGGAGGACGAGTATAAGGAGAGCCTGAAGCGTCAGGCGATGCTGGACGCGAAGGTGCAGGAGCTCTGTCGCGCGCACCTGTTGCTTCCTCAGGGCAAGGTCGAAGAGCTCTACGCCAGCCTGAACAAGAAGAATGCCGAGATCTACGTGCAGAGGTGGAAGCAGATGCAGCGCGCTGGTCCTGCACGCACTCGATTGTTTGCCTGGACCATGCTGGACCTGGAGATCCTGACCTTGGCCGACCCCTCTATAAACGACGACGGGGAAAAACAGGTGAGGGCCCTGAAGGAGATGGATCCGGAGACGCCCTGGCCCGAGGATGGCCTGGAGTTCAGCGCGCTGTGGATTCGCGGGATTAGCCTGAAGTGCGCGGAGTGGAAGCTCCAGCTTCGCGACTTCCCGCAGCCGTTGCTCCTGGTGGAGGGTCTGAACGTCTGGGGCAGACTGGCCGGGGCGGAGGCCCTCGCGCCGTTGCGGGCCAAAAGAACCGTCAGAATCGAGATCGGCGCGCCCTGGGAGGATATAGTCGTGGAGCGGGGAATGACGTCTCTCAAGTATTATCACGACTTGAATTGGGATATCGACAAGTTCAGGTACGCTTTCGGGCCGTGCTGGGAGCCGGTGATAGCCCAGTGTAACCTCAGCTTCGAAAAAATTCTGCATCCCTCGAGGGACCCGAGTCCGCCGTTGCCATTCTGGGACAAGATGCGCCTGGCCCTTCACGGCAGGCTGACCCTCTGCGTGAAACAGCTGACGGTGTTGCTGCACGGTTCGCTGGATCCGTACAATACCACTGAGGAGATGGAACTCACGTGGACCGGACTGGAGCTCGACTGGACCCAGGGGAAGATCATCATTAAGGGCGACCTCGACGTCTATGTGCGTACAGCTAGTAAGTATGACGACTGCCGATTGCTACACCTGCCCAACGTCAGATTGGGCATCAAATTGGCCTGGGTGTGTCTCGGAGACCCGCGTGACCATCACGCCGCCGTACCCTGCGCCCCGGATCGCTTGCCCGAGTACTCGAGCAACCAGGAACACGACTCGTTCAGAGCGTTTCGCTCCCAGAATCTCAACGTCAGCCTCTCCCTTGAAACCAAACCGACTGGATCACCTACCCTGGCCAGCGCGCCGACGGCGTTGCTCTACGGTAGCACCCTGAGATGGTTCGAGAACTTGAAGTTGATACTCTCGGGTGCGACGAGACCTACGAGGAAAGGTCCTCTGTTCAGGAACATTAGGCCTAGGAAGAAGCAGCTTAGCAGGCACTACAGGAAGATCCGGTTGACCTTGGCTTTCCATCGTTTCCACGTCAACTACTGGATGTCCTTCGCCATGCAGCGCGGCTTTGAGGTGACTGGCGGTAGAGTGGCCTGCAGCTCGGAGCACAACCTGGCGCTCCACCCGATCGACGATGGGTTGATCCATCGGCCGCGAGCCGAGTGGTCTGTCGTCTACATGAACTGCGAGCTGAGCGACGCTGAGATCTGGTTGAAGAGCGCGCTGCAGGAAGATGAAGTGGAGAGCGCCTCGCTACGCCAGCCAGTGGAGAAGTGCTACTGCTTGAGCGTGGCCCGCGTCAGCTACGGCCGGGAGGCGATGGTCACCGGAGTGAGCGGCGACACACCGATTCATCGGCTGGTCGTGCACGACTTGCGGGGCGCCTGGACCAAGACCAACCGGGACGTCGCATTTGCGCTCTTCGACTCCTTTATCAAGACCCAGCAGCTGAAGAAGAATCTGTCCACTGCGGCACTTAAGGGCTTTCACCGGGACAACAGTTCAACGCCACACAAAAACCGCGCCGCCAGCGTCAGGTCTGCTGTGGTCGATCAGCAGAGCGCGACCACCCAGGTGACGCCGTCTTCCGCCGTAAGCAAGCCGCAGCAGGGCGAGGTGGCGGGGATGCTGCAGAGATTGATAGCGGAGGCGGTGAACAAACCTGTGGCCTTCAGTGATGATCTGTCCGTGCAAACCAGGGGACAACAGCTGCGTGGATTGGCCGCTTGTCATCAAGATGACGTCTTGCACAAAAACTGGCTAAGTATGTGTATGCGCGCCTTGCCTCGTTGTGATCTTGAAAAATGATGATCTAAAGAATGCGATAGCTTATGTGACAAATACGATTTTTTTCCAGTCGCTTTGGTGAACAGTCAGGTGTTATTGAAGGGCATCGAGACTCGTGGATATGTTATTCTGTCGGCGGCTAAAGCGGAGATATTACAGAGAGTCCATCATCCGGTTTGGAAGGAGCGATCTCTCGTTCCAAAGACAACCTGGGTCGGCTCGTTGGAGTGCATGCAGTATTACGCCACCGTCAGCGCGAACATTGACGACAATATCGATGATAATATTATGTGGCTGACCTTGGATAATATACAGGTATATATCTAGCAAAATATATCCACTAAGTAGCAATCTGACGTTATTAGATATCAAAATGACGTCATTTTGACGTCATAAATATAAAAATAATTTTCACGTTTAATGACGTTATGGATGTCAAAGTGACGTCATTTTGACGTTTAATGACGTCGGTTTGTTACCTGGGTATATAAGACATTCCACATCATTTTGACGTCGAATGATGTGGAATGTCTTATATACCCAGGTTTGCTACTTGGGATACTTGTCCTACATATAAATAATATATACATATGTAACAAAATATTAGCATTGTATCACATTGTACTTTAGGAAAAGGATTCTACCATCATAGTAGGCCTGCCGGATGTCCCAGCTCTGGTGGGATCCGGCCAGAGCGTCGGCGGCGTGGTGAGCCAAACGGTGGGAGGCGGTGGCGGTCCTCAGCATCAACTGCAGCGCATAGTGTCCCGATGCAAGTGCGAGTTCTTCTACGTCGGTTACGGCCAAACGTTGGACGTCGGCTCCATGGACCAGGTCCCAGCACCGCCCAGAGAAGAGGTCAGTCTCTGGGAGAGGAAGGATCTGACCGCGGCCGACGCGTTCACGTTGATGCATCACGACTTGGACGTGTGCACCAACTCTTTGCAGTACGCGATGATCCTGGACATAGTCAACAACCTGTTGCTGTATGTAGAACCTAGACGGAAGGAGGCTTCGGAGAGGCTGCAGCGGATGAGGTTCCAGTTGCAGCTGCACTCCGTCGAGGACCAGAAGAGACCGATACAGCAGCTGCAGAACACGGTCCGCGGTTTAGTAGCGAAGCTGAGGCGTCTGGAACGGGAGACGTATTTGGTGCAGAAGGCGCTAGCTGATGAATCCAGCCCAGAGTTATTGACGGAGATGGAACGTCTGGAGGCGAACGTCTTCGAGTGCAAGGAGCAGCTTGGGGCGAAGGCGGAAGAGTTGGACGTCATGTTGAACTGTTACAAGGAGACCACCGCGCCTGCGGCCGCCTCGACCACGCTGAAGGACAAACCGGCCGCGGTGGCCAGGGTGGCCGAGATCTGCTTCAAGCATGCGCAGTGGAGGCTGACGGACGCCGACGGTCAGCTGGGTATCGCCGATCTCATATTGACCAATTTTCTTTATACTAAAACCAGCAAGACCGACGACTCGGTGGAGCACTTGCTGGAGCTCGGATACGTCCGGATGACGAATCTCCTGCCGAATCAGACTTACACGGAGGTCCTTGTGCCCACGGAGCTGCAGAGCAATATGCCTGTGGACCGACAGAGAGCTCTTCGGGTCTTTTGTAGAGAAAAGGCGCCGGTAGCCGGGATTTCTGTGAAGGAACACTTTGAAATTAATGTGGTGCCTCTTACGATAGGTAAATAGGACTAAAAAATTTGTCGATTACCTGAGAAAAGAGGTTCTAGAATCAAGTTCTGATTTTTCCTCCTTACATCTTCAAGTTTGGACCTGTCCTCTTTTAATTCTTGAATTATTTAAATTTAATTTATTATTGTTTTTTAGGTCTGACAAAAAAATTTTTCAATACTATGTTGAAGTTTTGCTTTCCCGAAAGAGATCCGGAAGGCATAGAAGAAGCGCCAGTGCCACAACGCGACTCGTCCTTTTATGTGCCCATCGAGAGAAGAGACGACGTGGAGAAAATGAAAGAGAGAGCGGATAAAAACAAATTGTTTATATACATAAAAATACCGGAAGTACCTGTTCGCGTATCATATAAGGTAACAATCTAAATCCAAGTATAGCAAACTAACGTCATTAAATATCAAAATGATGTCACTTTGATGTCTAATGACGTCATCGACGTTTAATGACGTCACTTTGACGTCTAATGACGTCATTCGCCATCTAATGACATCAAAATGACGTGTGCTTGCCACCTGAAAATAAAAAATGCATAAAAAAGGGAGATGCTGATGATTCAAAGGAAGGAATCAAAACATTTAACGGAAAGTTCAAAAACAAGTTTATTGCGCTTAATTTCTGCGCCTAGCTCTTAATTAGTCCGGTTTCCTTCCTGAATTTCTATTTATATACAGTCCTATTTTTAAAAATATGTTTAAATATATCAAAAATGTGATGTTTTATAAAAAAATGTTTGGTTTTGATGGAAGAAAGTTAACACTACTGATTTTTTTCTAAAGAACGATTTTTAAGATTATTTATATTTTTTAAAAATGGAACCATCTTAATTTTTTTATATAAATAGATTTCTTGCATGATTTACTATAAAAAGTTATGAAAGATGATAAAAAAATGAATAATTTATGAGATATTTTATACTTGAATTTGACAATTTTGCATAAATTATGAAATATGTCGTAAAATATTCATTTTTCGATGAACTGAATTAATGTGGTTCCATTTAAAAATATATATATAAATGATCTTTAAATGATCTTGAAAATTGTTTTTAGTTAAAAGTTAGTAGTGCCAACTTCTTTTCCCCTCAAAACCAAACAACTTCTATTCAAAACATTTTATTCTGAAACACGACGTTTTTAGTATAGTTGAGCAATTTTTTAAAACAGGACTTTTGTTTTTGTTTTATCAATAAAAAAAACTTTTTAAATACAATAATTGTAATAAAATATAAATATATAAAATAGAAATAAAATAATTATAAATAAAAAAAGAGAAAAATATTTCTTTTGCTTCTTATTCTTATTTGTGAATTAATTATTATAATTAAACTCATTCGATTTCATTTTTACAGGGAAACAAGGAAAAGAATCTCGAGGATGTACGTGATTTTGCTTTAGTTATACCAACTTTAGAGTATCACAATGTGACATGGACATGGCTAGATTTGCTTCTGGCTATGAAGAGCGATTCCAGGCGTGTAATTTTGAGCCAAGCCATCAAGCAAAAATTGCAGATAAAACCGAGAGGAGGACCGCCCGAAGAGTCCGTACCACAGGAAGAGGATAAGGCTCGTCTTTTGTTAGGTACCAGGCATCTTCCTGGAGATGCAAGGAAGAAGGGTGTATTTAAGTTTAAATAATTTATATATAGCTTGTACATGTACTAGTTACATGTGTCAGCTATTTGTATTATAATATATATTAGCTTGTTGTATTATAATAATTTATTTATTTAATAGCATTGTGATAAATGTTGTGAGCTTATATATATTTTTGTTTCTCTTGTAAATAAATTCAAAATATTAAATAAAAAATTATTTTTATATTTCTAATATATATTATCGTGAGGTAAAAAATGATCAGTGTCCCATTTTAAATAATGCATTGCTATTTTTTAAAAATTAAGGTTTTCATCGAAAAATGTTTCATACAAAAGTCGCCGGAATCATTGTATATAATTTTCTTGTATAAATTCATTCCTCATATTTGGCATAAAAAATTGTTGGAGTGGAATAGTCGAAAAATAAATGATTTACGAGATGCTTCATTCTTACACATTTGACAAAAAATATAAAATATTTCATATCACATCGTAATGAAACTTGGCCAACCCATGGTTCTTATATTTAAAATTCATGTGTACTTCTTTCATCCCACAAATTTATAGCGTAGTTTTTTACTGTCCTGTGTACATATAACATATATATTTGTTGTAAAATTTTTATTTAAATAAATTAATTTCACTTTTATACCATGTGTATAAATTTCAATAATTATAAAATCATAAATAATTATATCTTTTTTGAAACCACAAAATATCTTTTAGAACATTAACAAATATGCAAAAATATAGTTTATAACTTCTATTTTAACTATATATATATATATATATATATATATATATATATATATATATATAATTAATAGGTTCAGAAAGATTAGCTATAATCTAAAATCAAATTTATTCTCTCTCTCTCTCTCTCTCTCTCTCTCTCTCTCTCTCTATATATATATATATATATATATATATATATATATGTGTGTGTGTTACTTGCATACATAAACACTAAAAGTCCTTTGTCTACCTATGCTAAGCTAATACTTCTCACGTGGTTCGTTGTTCCAGATTCATACATTCGTTCAAACAATTTACAAAACATGTGCTTAGAGTTACAGAGTAATTAGAGGCGCTTCTGTAGTTTTCCTCGCGTATCTCCACGCGTTCAAATCGGCCAGAATTCGTCTGCCATATGCTGTGTGAAGTTCACGAAAAGTGATCTTGGTCCTAGGTATATTCTCTGTCCTCCCAGGCGCTGACCTGACGCTCTGAGACCGATGATGATGATCTGACCTATTAAATGGATTGTGCCGTTGCCTTGGTGGAGCTTTAGGAGAATTTTGTTGAGTCTGTGGTACAGATGCAGTTTCTTCTTCTACAGCATCCAACTGACGTTGCAGCTCCGTCACCATCAACTTCATGTAATCGTAACTGGCACAGGCCAATGCCTTCATCCACTGCTCCATAGATTCCTAGAAGACATCGTAATTCTTATTAAAGATTCCTGGTTAAAAATTACAGTATATCAATATGTATTCACCTGAGATTCTGCTGCTAGGACATAGTTTCTGTTGTTCAAGCCATGAAAGACTATCTTGAAGCCAAACTGCTCCTCATCCTCTGCTAATTCAATTGTACAGCCTTCCAACACAATCATACCCATTGGTTCCTTGTCCCCACGTCGATCAAAGTAGAACAATATATTTCCTTTCAGGACAAACCAGCGTCTTTGATACCCACGATTGACTTCACCGCGTTTGTTCAACCAGCCTTCACGGTCTATGGGTGTTGCTGATGTAGCAAACGCCACCATGTTCTTCTCATTGATCTTCATGGTGTTCAGCAACAAATTTTCATCCAATTTCTAGATAATAATTCGCAGGTGAGATTAAAATTAAATTGTTTGTTATTAAATCCACAACTCAAGGTAAATTTTTTAGTCATGTGAGCAAAGAATACACTTTCTCTTTAATATTGTAGTTTTGTAACATCATATAAGTCTTAATATTTTATTAATTTTAATGTATTATATTATTTGTAAAATTGCAATTTTACTTATATCACTGACGAGGTACTGCTCGTCAGTGCTTTTATTCACAAAAATTGAATTAAATTATTAAAAATGTCTCATTCTTCATATATGTATATATAAATCATATGTTATATATAAATTTTGTGTACAATTTACAATCCAGATTACCTCAAATTAATTTTATAAAATTTTAAAGATGTTCAGATATTTCAGATATTTTTTAGCAACGAAACAAACTCGAACACTTTTTATATTTTATGTGACACATATATACAGTATTCTGTGTTTCTTATATATAAGTAATTTAAACCTTAACTTGAGGCCTGGTCCACAATAGATGATTTAAACCTTAAGAAATTGACTAATCACAGTCGAGTATTCTCCTCATACTTGACTGTGATTAGTCAATTTCGTGAGGCTTAAGAAATCGGCTAATCACAGTCGAGTATTCTCCTCATACTTGACTATGATTGGTCAATTCTTTGAGGCTTGAAAAATCGGCCACTCGCATTCGAGTATTCTCTTCATATTTGATTAGGGGTTACCTAACCTGCCTAAATACGATTAAGGGTCGGCAGTACACCCAGGCAAACTCCGAATTGATATTGGAGACCTCGTGCGGTGACAACGCGAAACTCCGGTTTCAGTGTTGCCAACGCCGAGAAACCAATTCTCGGGTTTTATGTAGTGGTGTATGTCTGTACACGTACATACACCACTGCATCGCTCACGCGGACGCACGTAAGAGAGACAAGGACCGATAATCACGTGTTCTCCTTGTTCCTCTACCGTGCCGGTATACGCGAGATGCCGCCTAAAAATGCTTTCTGGCCTTCCGTAGCAGAAAGCAGTAACGTAGCAAGACTAATAAGCACCCATTTTTGTAAATTTTATATATGCTTATGCACATATGTGGATATATTATTTATATATAAATATATATATATATAAAATATACTAATTTACTCTCAATTATATATGCTACTGTTATTATTTATCATTAGACAATTATAAAACAGAGGTTATAGATTTGGTCTGACTACACTGGCCTCAAATTAAAGTTGTATATATATTTATTTTAACGTTTCGACCATACGGGATGTGGTCCTTTTCAAAAATACAGATTGGAATATCAGAGAGTTACAGCATTTCGTCTTTAAGATGTAAGCGCAAATTATGATTCGGAGAGATTTAACTTGTCAAATAATAAAATATATAAAATAAATTATAAAACATATACATATATAATTTGTAGTGCTATATATATATGTTTTATAATTGTCTAATGATAAATAATAACAGTAGCATAATTGAAAGTAAATTAGTCTACAATGTTAGACACGGGTACTTGTTAGATTTGATAATTTATTGCTTATACTTTTTCGAGAGACAAGAATAAGAGAACGAATATATAAATTATTATTAGCTTGTATAGCAATCATAGATTGACGAATATGCGTTGGTTATTCTTGATTTCTTTTCTATTATTGATATTATTGTATAATTTGCTCTATAAATACTTATAACATAAAAGAACTTATGTCGAGTAATAAGGATGTTCAGTATGTATCACCCAGTAAATTATTAGAGTTCAAATATATCAATATCAATTTTTTAATAATATATTGGAATACAGAGAAATGATAAAAAAATATATTTCGGCAATAAAAATTTTATAAATATATTGAAAATATTTTTACTACACGCGCGCGTGCACACACACACACACACACACACACACACACACACACACATACACACTATATAAATGCAAAATAATACAGAAAATAAATTTTTAATAAAAATCAACATACCAGCTATTTGTGTGTGCATATGTAGCTGCAAGCATGCAACGGATTTATTACTTGATAAATTTATTTACGGACTTATTTTGCATTTATATATATATATATATAGTGTATGTAATTGTAAAAATGATTAAAATATTTTCAATATTTAAAAATTTTCAAGTTTATCGCCTTATATTTCTATAATTTTTCTATATTCTAATATATTGTAAAAAAATTGATATTGATATATTTGAACTCAAGTTTTTTACGTGATTGAATATTATTGCATTGAGCCATCATACGTTACTCGTAAGTTCTTTTACGTTATAATAGTGTTTATGTAGCAGAGAGAAAGAGATAAGAGAGAGATTATACAATATAACTTCAATAATCGAAAAAAATCACGATAACGCTATTGTCATATCTATGTGTGTGCATATATATAAACTTATATATTATATATTTTATAAATAAGTAAAATATTATGCAGACAATGTATACAATATAAAATGTTCAGTTTGTGCTATGCTTCAATCAATAACACTGGTCGACAAAAAATGACTTTTTTCAGGTTCGAAGATTTCCAAAGCGTATTTTTGTAGATTTTTTTCATGCCGATTACAAATTCGGCCGCAAAAATTGCGTATCACGTCACGTTTTTTAGATATCTTGATCTAAAGATGCAAAAATTCGTTCAACGCATTAGTGTTTGTGTCTACATGGATGTTACTACATATGCGATGTAAGAGAGACAAGGACAGAATGATAGTCTCTCTTTGTTAAGCTGTTAGCTGTCAGTATGTTACCACGGAAATTTCTCCTGCTCCTTATGAATCTAGTGAGAATCTTATCGTCCAGATATTTCATAAAATAAGTGACATAACTTTGGTTTTTTTTTTTTTAATATATTCTTGATATAATAAAGTAGTCCGCCAAAGAGTCGGATTTTGCATTTTTGCTCTGAAAAATTTATAATAAATAAAATACGGACTCCTGGCTAACCCAACCTTACCCGTTACTAGCTGCGCATTCCTTCAAGTTATATTATAAATTTTATTTTCATCTTTTTTTCAATAAATAACTCTTTGGCGGACTGCATTTGAGCTTACTGATTAAGAATATCATAAATTTAATAAGATTCATTCAGTAGTTTTGCTAATATCTGGAATATAAGAATCTCTAATTCCCGGCCGGCCGATAGGCGTCTCCACCATGTCGCCTGCCGACCCTTAAGATTTCAGTATGGTTATATCGTATGTGTTGTATTTTTCGTATAAAAAATAGATTAAAATATATTAAAATATAAAATCTTTTTTTGTAATTCGTCAGTCCTGTTTATTTTGGAAGAATAAATAAGAAATAGTCATGATGGGTCCTTTGCAAATCATTGGACGAACAAGTAAAATTGGTATGATATATATATTTGATTATTTTAAGTTATGATAAAGGAAAAAAAATGTAATTTATTATACTACAAAAGATAATTTTTTAAATTCTTTTAATTTTTAATAAATTTTTGAAATTTTTGCGTTTTATGATGTTCTAACTTATACATTTGTTTGTGAATAAAAAATCTTATTAAAGCTGATTGTATTTATATAAAAAAACTGTAGTAGTATATATAAAAGGTTATGCATATAAAAATGATTTATTTTTGATAAATATGTATATTTTATTAATTTTGTTCTTTGTTTATTACATAAAAAATTATATATTTGACAGATTTTATGTGAATACTTTAATTATAAAATTCTGCCCATATTTTATGTAATATGCAAATAATCTCAAATATAAATATTTCAGTTTCAAGATTTAGTAGATTGACTGCAAATGGTGTAAATACATATTTGAGTCGAAACAAATTTTACTATGTAAATGAAGAAAAAGAGAAAACTTGGACAGATATTATGGATACTGCAACTACACATATGTTTCTCTTGGAAATATACCGAGGATTTGGTCTTACTTTATCTCAGTTATTTAGAGAACCAGCAACAATAAATTATCCATTTGAAAAGGGACCCTTGAGTCCTAGATTCAGAGGCGAGCATGCACTAAGAAGGTATATATATTTTTTATATTATATTTACATATTTTTTAATACATATAATTTTTGATACATACAGTTATATTTTTATAACATTTTATGTATCTTATAAATATATATAGCTTTATATTTTTTTATTGTACACAAAACATCTAACTTGCGCACTTTGAGTAATTTGTAATTATGTGTTGTATAAAAAAGTATTAAATATATGATTTTAAGAGGTTTATTATGTAATACTTATTTTTATATATTCATTTTTTAAATAATTTGATGTGATGGATATAGTTATATAATTTATTATTGGTGCTTGGCATTAAGTTTAATACTTGTTTTTTATTTTCATGTTATCATTGAGTTGAAAAGAAAATAATAAATAATTAGATATCATTTTTTTAAATGTTGAAGAGAAAAAATAATATATCTATTAAAATTAATATATATATTATATATATATATATATATATATATATATATATATATATATGTACACAATATATATACGTATAATGAATATTATATAATAAATTGTATACATATATAATATATATAATAAATATATTTATGCTTCCTAAAACCTTGTTTTACTATAATACTATAAAAACATATTTAAATGGCTTTTAAAATTTCTTTTTAATATAAAATTAAAAATATGTGTGAAATTAATGCGATAACATTTTTGCAATAGAATTATTCAAACCATTCTAGTTATTCCCTTTTTCATGTTTTTTTAAATTTTATTTAGATATCCCTCTGGAGAAGAAAGATGTATTGCTTGTAAATTATGTGAAGCAATATGTCCTGCACAAGCTATTACAATTGAAGCGGAAGAAAGAGCAGATGGGTCTCGACGTACTACAAGATATGACATTGATATGTCCAAGTGTATTTATTGTGGATTTTGTCAGGAAGCTTGTCCGGTAGATGCTATTGTCGAGGTATACAAATCGTTTGCTAATTAAAGATAAGGAGAAAGGAAAAATAATAACAAAGGTGAGAATTTTATCGAAAAATTGTTTTACAGGGTCCAAATTTTGAATTTTCATCTGAAACTCATGAAGAAATGTTGTATAACAAGGAAAAACTATTAAATAATGGAGATAAATGGGAATCTGAAATTGCTAGTAATATTCATGCCGATCACTTGTATCGTTAACAGCTGTGTTGTAATGTAGTAACAAATAATGTAAGTAAAACATATAATAATGTAATGTACAAATATAGACTCAATTAAATATCAAGGAAGATTTTACTTATATATCATTAGAGATATATAAATATATGTATATGTTAAGTTATTTAATATAATAATAATAAAGATATAAAAAATCGTATCAATGTTTTTGTTTAAATATTTTTTACTATTATAGAATAATGTATAAAAATAAATCGATTCTTAAATATAGCTAGAAATTATGCATAAGATATTCCATAAAAAGATTGCCAAAGTTTAATATAATATATTACTATAGAATATTATTCTTCAAAACGTCAAATTTTCTAGCACAAAATAAACACAAAATAGACACAATGTCGTGATTGACTAATAGAAAAATTTTCAAGATTTAAAGAATTCTTATTTATGAGCTGTGTGATGTTTTTTTACTAAAAAACTTTCTATAAATTTATTTAACTATCATAAATTTAGGATTTTATTATATAGTTATAATAATTTTTTTTTTCCTTTTTTTGATAATACTGGACAAGACAAAGTTATCACTAGCATAATTGTAAAAGTATGCAAAGATTTAATACAGGGTGTCCCAAAATCAGCAGATCACTTTAATAACAGATTATTAGGATTAATCGTTTGGAGATGATTTTTATGATTTATCTGCTAGATAAGATAAAGGCGATTTTGAATTTAAATGTATCTAGATAAAAGATAAAATTATATAGTAATTCATCTAGATAATTTTCAAATCTAAAATCGCTTATGTAAACACAGTTATAAGAAAATGTAAAAGGGATATCAAAATATATTCATACTTTTATTTGTAAGTTCTTATCGCTTACTGCTTAAGTTCTACTACTTAAGTATTTTTATGTCTATAATATGACTGAAGCAAATTATCTGAACATTATTCTGGTTAATTTACTAAAGATAACACTTTTTATCTAATGATAAGGTGCAAATATAGATGTGTGATATATATTTTTATTTTATCTGAAGATATTTATATTATCTATATAGATTATCTATATTATCTATATATTATTTTTATTATCTTTTTATTATTTTATATAGATAATAAATATAGATATTTTCTATATTCAGGGTTGGGTAAGTTAATTATTTTTTAAAACTAAGTTAAGAATTAAACACAGACTTCTATATATATTATTTACTTTAATGAAACCTGTACTAAACTATAGCAATCTAGCAGTCTAGATTTTATATAGAAGTCTGTGGAGTTAAAGTTAGTTGTTTATAAAATTAATTTAGTTAACAATAAAAATTGCATGAACAAAAAATTAACTCAGTTAAAATTAAGATTAAATTAATTTAAGTTAAATAAAAAATTAATGTTTAAAAACATATTTACATTAAATTAGAATTTTATTTGTTAATTCTAAAATTTGTAACAAAATTTTGATTTTTATATAGAAATATATATTTTTTTTGTCATTACAATTGATGACAAATGAACATTAAAAATAGATAATACTTTAATTTAAAAATAATATGTTAATAAGTTATAAAAAACAATAATAATGGTATTCAGAGATAAAAAAAGTTTAATTTAGGAAAAAAGTTAATAAATTTGAGGTCAAAAATAACTAGTTGAAGTTAAACATTAATATATTTTAAATAATTAAGTTAAAAGTTATTAACTTTTAACTTTTTTCAACTTTTAACTAATTAACTAGTTATTACCCAAGTAGAATAGAAAATCAAAATGATATTTTGATTTTCTGTTCTACTTGGGTACCCTGCATATATTTTATTATCTATATATATATATATAAAGATATAGTAGCATGACTTCAAAATTTCATCTGGATGATCATCTATATAATTTTATTTATATAACAATAAACCTTGAACATAGCCAAATTTATTTAAAAAAATTTTTTTTTTATTTAATTTTTTTCTTTATTTAATATGTACTCCACATTGGAAGGAAAAAGATGAATTCTGAACTAGCCAGTTCAGCTGAAAAGAACAGACCTAATAGAGAGTAAATCACTATTTCAAGCATGGCCGCCGTTGCTTTGTTCTCCTTCCAGTTTTAGGCTAAAGTTCAATGAGTATGTGAGGAGAGAAAATTGTGAATGATACAAAAAAAAATATATATATATATATATATATTAAGTGATTCGTTTTATTTATCAGTTATCTCTAAAACTTATTAAAATTCGAGTGCGATATTAATGGATTTATGCGATTCATCCTATTTGTCGTCTGAAAAAATAGGATTACACAAAGTGAGGTTAGTGTCTTTCATCATTTGCATCTGTTAATTTCAATTTGTTTGATTAAAATTATATTGTTATATTGTCATAATTATATTATCAAATCGCAATTTATTGTAAGATGGAAAGATTTTGCAGAGTACAATATTTTTTTAATTATATTTAATAGAAAATTATTTAGCACCATGTGACAATTTTTTTATGGTGGCAACCTATTATTTGTTTTTTCTACACCTCCGCTTTTCTTTTGTTTTTACTTATTATTCATCATACATGTGATTTCTGTTTTCTTATATAATTTATTTTTACTTTTATTATATTCTATATTATAAAATTTTATACCATAACTATCAAGAGAAAAAAATTGAACATTTTTTATTTTATTTATTATATGTTTTCTTTATTAATTTGTATATTACTAATTTAGATCCTGTGCACAATAGAGAAAATATTGGCAACAGAAATAAATATATTAAATATAGAAATTATTAGGAATTATTTTATTTCAAAACAAAGAAACAAAATAATCTAATGCACAATGCATTAAAAATTTATAAAAATGATAGAAATTTAACATTAAATATTATGAAAAAAGATATTTCTAAAAAAGATATGTTGTTGTGTGTGTGAAGCGCTCACTTATGATATCTAATAACATAAACACTATGAATATTAATATAATAAGTTAATATAAGAATATTAATATAATAATAAGGAACAAGCACATGAAGGAAATTATTTAATTATGTTTATAAATAATTTGATTTTCACACAATATATATTAGTTTACAAAAAAAGAACATTCTTGGCAGAAAATTAAAAAAGTTACTTAATTTTGAAAGTCTAAAAAATATTTTTTATTTTTTTTTGTAGAGATTGTAAAAAAGTTTTTTGAAAAATTTAAATAAATACCTTAGTATTGTTATTAAATATTGTTCTATAATTAAAGGTTTTCTTAAACTGTTTTTAACTGTTTAGAAATAGAAAAAATTTGTCTAAAAAATTGTTATATGTTTCTAATGGTATTCTGGGGTATAAAGAAAAGAGAAATTTACATCATTTTTAAGCTCTTTCACAAAAGTCGGAAAATCATGTAAACTATCTCTTTTCGTAATTTGATAGGACAAACCCACCAATATTTGTTTCCAAGTTTATTCTCTTTAATATAAATGCAATTTATCATTGATTGAAAAATTAAACGTAATAATAAAAATAGCTCTAAGATTTCTTAAAGATTTTTTATACCGTTAAAGCTCGAGCTTTTCATGTTTGAAAATGGTTGCAAATCAGTAACTGTTTGTTGTTTCTTATTTAACTTTGAGCCTATTCCATTTTTAAAGTATCTAAGTATGTTTTTATATTACATTTTAATTTATGCATTTGTATCTGTGTTCTAGATACATTTTTCCCATGTATCTATATATCAGGTAGCAATCATACGTCATTTTAACATTAATGGCGTCATTTTAACATTTAATTACGTCATTTTGACATTTAATGATGTTATTTTAATACTTGGGATATATATACATGTGAAAAACTGTATTTTGGTATAAAAACAAATTAAAATGTAACGTAGCTACAGATACTCGAATACTTCAAAATTATTTCAGATACAAAATGACGTCATTTTGACATTGTATGTCAGTTTGCTACTTGGGGATCTGTATCGAGATATATTTTAAATGTATCTTACACCCATCACTTCGAATATATTGTAACAAGGATGTCTATGCGCGCGCGCGTGTTTACATTGCTTCGTCGCATGCGTGCATGGGTCATCATTGACGAAGTTGCGGCTCTCTGGACCGGTCTCCGCGGCAACCACAACTTATCGATTCGTCTAGAATGTCGTCTATCGTCAGTTAGCCTTACGGACGACGAAAGTGCTTGGTTTGCGAGGGAATGCACAGTTTATAAGCGTGTGGAGAAAAAGTGCGATGATATGGGGATGCTTAGTGGTTCAATGTCAGTGGCAGAGTGCTGATTGGAGTCAGAGGAAGGTCCTGGGATCGAATTCCGGTAGAGGACCCCGATATTTTTCCTTCTTGTAGCAGAATCAAAAGTCTAGCGTATGCGCAATTTATTCAAAATAGCCCATGATTTTGTTGTGCTGATGAAAATAATATACAAGAAAACGGGAAAATATCTAGAAGAAACTTATGGTGCTAGAGACGAGAAACACCATGGATGCAGAAACTCGCTATTATTAATGGTGCTATCCTGAAACAAATAAGCCTATATTATATAGTGATTTATGTCTGGGATTAGAACTCGAAAGTTTAGACTAAGAATTGTTAATGTTTACCGAAGACCAAAGGATGGAAAAAGATGAAAAAATGGAATAGGAGCCAACATGAAGAGCCAAACTGAAATTATGATTAATAATGAAGAAATGTAACACTTTCTTAGAGTAATGAATGAAGAAATCCATAGAAGTGCAGTATGATTTGTAGAGAGAGTACTTTTTAATGTGTATTCTGTATATTTTAAATAAAATTTTAGCATGTTAATCTTAAATATAGCATATATATATATATTTTTTTTTTTTTAAATACTATCGTTTTTTGAGTAATATATATATAATGATTTATTGTTAGTGCAAAAAATGTTCAGTCTATTACGCTGGAAATTCAAGTTTTAAATCCATAGGCAATAAAATCATCTTTTTTTGACAACATTAGATATTAATTAAATATAATATTTAATCAGAAAAGTTTCAAAATTATAATTAAACGATAATATTGACAAAAATATCAAATCAAATATAACAGTATTACACAAATATAACAGGTTTTTATTGCAATGACTTTCGATTTTGGTGAAGAATCGAGTTATGTGCAGGGATAAGAACGAAAACGACGACAAGGGTATTATATAATCTCGTACCACATCTACATATATTGAATTCTGGACCTAATAAGCATGGTGCTAGGCTCTAAGTTGAATCCAAACATCTAGCCAACTGCAAGAGCGAAAAGAAGAATGGATCATCGTGATCCAGATGCCATCAGAAACTAATAGTAAAACTACTCATTATGATTATACCATTGCTACGTATATTGAACGTAAATGCGTCCGGAATAAATAAAAATCCCAGAAAAAGAGAACGGGAATGCTAAACAAGATCTGTGCAAAGCGCGCGATTGTCCGCTGCTATTCCTCGCAGGAGCACGCATTGCATCTACCGCCTGAACACAGACGATTCCGTCGTGTTCACGGTCTGCAGCTGCCGCTGCATCCTCAGCAGGTGATCGGCTGGCTGTTGCTGATCGTCGTGTTTGTCGGCACCTTCACCGTGTTGCTGACGGCGCCGTTGCTGTTATCCGACCTACGCTTCGGCCTCTCGTTGCTATTCACTGCCCTATTCCTAGTCCACGCGCTGACCCACCTGACGGTGCTGCTGCTAGACCCGGCCGATCCTGAGGTACGCGCGCGGCCGGCCAATCAGGTGGTCCCGGAATTCGACCGCAGCAAGCACCAGCATGTGATCGAGAACGGCCGGTGCCACCTGTGTAACATCACGATTCGCGGCCTGTGCACTAAGCACTGCTCTATCTGTAACAAATGCGTGCCCCGTTTCGATCACCACTGCAAGTGGCTGAACAACTGCATCGGTGGCCGTAATTACCCGGCCTTCCTCGCTTGTCTGACCTCGACTCTCATCATCGCTCTCGCGGTCACCGCGCTCGCCCTGGGCGAGCTGGTACTCAACGCGTATTCGAACGCCAATTCGAATGACGATGGATATTGGGATAGTAGTAGCAGCAACGACACGAGCATGAACAACGCCACGAGTCCGTCGGTGCCGGTGCCCGGCACCGGCTCCTTCGTTCTCATCACTCTCATCGGCGCTCTCTCGGCGGTGGCAGCCATTTTGCTCATACATCTCTGCTTTTTCCATGGCTACATCGCCTGTCTGGGGCTCACAACCTACGAATACGTACGTAGGAAACGGGAAAAGAGCTCCGCCGGGGTCACAGCTGGTTCCAGGATGAGTTCCCCCGGTAATCCGTGCGGGGAGTCTTGCTGCGACACCGGGGACAGAGAGAATATCGACCAGGTTGGCACGCGGAGTCTCTATTCTCGCTTCTGCAAGAACGGTTCCCTGTTCAAGGACGGTACGACGATGATGACGGCCACGACGGACGTGTACATGTCCTCGACGCACGAGGAAACGCGCAGAGGCGACGTAGAGGCGAGCGACGAGGGTGCGTCGAGAACAGTCGCGTCCTCGACGAAGGGCCGGAATTTCCATCTCTGTTTCTCGTACGACTCCCGTACCATCGAAACCTCCATCAAGGTCTCCGCTTCGCGGTCCAACACGATAGAGTTGGAGAATCATGGGGACTCTCCGGACATCAAGTCGTCCTCCACACCCTCGCCGGTGTCCTGCTGCTTCTCCATCGTGAACTATTCCGAGGGCAAGCACGGAACTGGGAAGACCCAGAAGCACCGTCGCGCGAGCGGACACCGTCTGGAGTCCACAAAACGTACCTGCGGGATGATGAGGAGGATCCAGACGTTTCTGCAAGCTCGGTTGAAGAAGGGCTCCAGGTCGAAGGCAACGACCTCGACCTTTACCCGGTCTTGCAGCAACAAGATAATCCCCGGTAGCCCTCCGGGTATCCCGCCCGCGATCACCGAGCATCAGAATCGGATCATCGAGACTCTGGTGGCGGAGCTGACGACACCGTCGTCGCCGTCGCCATCGCCACCACCGTTGCCGCTGTCATCTTTGGATCATCCACATCCACCGGCGAGATTACCGGCTCTGGATCTTCCGCGTACCGTCCACAAGATTAGGAAGGTGCTTTCGAGCACCGGGGACATCTCCGTCTTGGAACCGATACCGCCCTCCGTGATGCCTAAACGGAACCAGGCCTACCTAGGTAGCCGGCGTGGCGCGAACTTTTCGAGGAAGAGGCCGCGCTTCAAGCTCGGTTCTTACGTCACACAGACAGCCCAATTGTCACCGATCCCGGAGTCGGAATTCTCGAAACCGGCTACACCCAGGTCGCCATTGCGGTCTGGTTCTGCTTTCGCCTTCCCGCCATTGCGCGAATAACTTTGTTGTTTGCGGTTCTAGTTTACCCGAGGTGTCTTTTGTGGAAGTGTTTTGCCTTTTTTTAAAGAAGTATACAATTCGAAAGAGAGGCTATTAAGATATACCAAGGCGGTTTAAAACTCCGGCAACGGCCAACTATTTCCAAAAATAGTCGTCTTAAACATGTTAAATACAAAAGTATAGGGCTCAAAATAAAGCACTTGATGGTGACCTTGAATTTGACCAAAGGGTCAAATTTAGAGGTCATTTCAAGGTCAACTTAATTTTTTAAGCGGAATCCCTATTTTTTATTGCATATTCTTATAGCTTATCTCGAGATCTTTCCAAAACGCTATAATAAAACCTGTTTTCATTAAGTACTTTTTGAATTATAAAGGTTTAAAGTTAACAATTTTTTGATATAAAATGCTTTTAAAATGTTGCAAATTATATACACCTTTTGTATAAATTTTGTATTTAACAGTTTTTCATGAGATCACTATTTTCGGAGATAATTGGCCGTTGCCGGACTTTTGAACCATCCTGTATCTTTTTAGTATATTTTTCATTGTTTTAAATTTTAAAGAATTCAAAAATTGTGTTCACGTATGATTTATTCATTCAAAAACAAGGTGTCTACTCTCTCGAAAAACTCCGAGATTGTCAGGGATTTTTTTTATCCTGAAAAGTCTGGGAATTCTCATGGAATTTTGTTGAAACTTGAAGAATTTTTTTCTTAAAATTTTAATCTTGATAATCGTTGATTGATTAAAAGTTAGTAAACATATACAGGATGTTCTATTTTATTTTTACAATGATTTGACCTTGACGGCTAGTTGTTTAGAAGTCATGTAAAGGTTCTTTAATTTCTTAATAAAACTACCATTTTTTTTACATAAATTGATTCCTCACAATATTTTGTCACAAAACTATAATGGTAGAATGATTAAAAAGTGAATAGTTTACAAGATATTTCATACTTTAGTTTGACAACTTTACATAAACTATAAATATGAAATATTATATATATATTGGTATATATATATATATATATATATATATATATATATATATATATATATATATATACAGGGTAGGCCATTTTAATCTTTCCACTAAAATTTCTCAAAATCCAAAAATTTAAGACAAAAATGTTTCAGATAAAAGTTGTATGGTTTCAAGGGGGACATGAGATGGTGTCATTGATTTGACCTTGAATAGCCATTTGAAGGTTACGTGAAGGTCAACTTCAATTTCTTAAATGGAACACTATATTTTTTCTTGCATACTTTTGTAGCTGACTTCGAGATCTTTCCAAAACACTACAATAAAATATTTTTTCATGAAGTATTTTTCGAGTTATTAAGGCTGCAAATTTGCAGTATTTTGACATAAAATACAAAATATCTTGGGAAATATTCATTTTTCGATTATCATACCTTAATACTTTTATGCACAGAATAATGAGATAAATCAGTTGATGTAAAGAAAACACATAGTTACCTTTAAAAAAAAATATGAAAATTGCAATAAGCAGTTAGATAATTTTTCTTTAAGACAACTATGTGTTTTCTTTACACCAATTGATTCGTCTCATTATTCTGTGCATAAAAGTATTAAGGTATGATAATCGAAAAATGAATATTTCCCAAGATATTTTGTATTTTATTTCAAAATACTGCAAATTTGCAGCCTTAATAACTCGAAAAATACTTCATGAAAAAATATTTTATTGTAGTGTTTTGGAAAGATCTCGAAGTCAGCTACAAAAGTATGCAAGAAAAAATATAGTGTTCCATTTAAGAAATTGAAGTTGACCTTTACGTAACCTTCAAATGGCTATTCAAGGTCAAATCAATGACACCATCTCATGTCCCCCTTGAAACCATACAACTTTTATCTGAAACATTTTTGTCTTAAATTTTTGGATTTTGAGAAATTTTAGTGGAAAGATTAAAATGGCCTACCCTGTGTATATATATATATATATATATATATATATATATATATATATGTATATATATATATTATATATATTATATATATATTAAAAAAAAATCTCGTAAAATATTCATTTTCCGATAATCTTACTTCAATACTTTTATACACAAAATAATGAGATGAATCGATTAATGTAAAAAAAAACAGTTGTTTTTAAGAAAAAATATGTAACTTACAACTAGCAGTTACATTTTTTCGCAGCAGTAGTAGTTTTCTCAGGTTTCTTTAATAAGATTTGAGTAGATATCTTGATAAATGAAATATTTATTATATTGCACATCCGTTGGCCTTTTCCTTTATTATTTCATCAAATACACATTTATCTGTGCATTGTTGTATTCTAGAAATAATTTGTTTATTAAAATGCAGTAAATTTGCATTATTATTACAAATTATTACAAGTTTGTCATTTTCTCTCAAGAAATTTATTCAAAATTATATATGTATATAATATAAATTCACATATAAAATATATTAAATAATTTATATATTTTATATTTTTTACAATTTATGGAAATGTACTAAAATGTTAATAATTGCTTTCGTATTTATATTAATATACGGATATTAATCTTTTAATACACAGTTTTTTTGCAATAAAATGGAAAAAAATCATTTTCTTCATGATAATATAAAATAAAACGCTGCTCGAATTCATTTATTGAGCTTGCACGTGCGTTAAGAGATTAATATCTAAATAATGTAAAGAAATATGCAATAAAAGATCTCACTAATTTTTGTAATTTAAGATCTTTTTTATTTAAATTAAGTCTGCAACTATACATATATGTCCAAAAAGAATAAATTATATCATTTGTATTATAAAGATTTATATATAAAAGGATAAACCTATAATATTATTATTATGAAAATTTAATGTATGGTTATAATTATAAATAATAATGATAATAATAATAATTATCTTTAATTTTTTCTCTCTCTCCTCTTTCTTTTATTTTCTTTCCTATAATACATTTTTACATATGTCACTTTTAAAAAGAATTTTTCTACTTTTTTATATTTTATATTTATATATATTGTATTTTATATAAAATTTATAAACGTATAAAAATTGTTATTAATGTATATATTGTATATAATAATTTTTATTTGGAATACATGTGTGAGATACTATATTAATAATATTATTTTTATGATTAAATATATAAAATTAAATAAATGTTAACCCTCAGTTACCACTCATTTTTGGCTATCCTATTTTACCACTCATGGGTTAAAGTAATCCAGAGTCTTCTTTTGTTTATATTTCTGGATCTAATAAAACTATTTTGAAGTATTTTTTTTCAATCGATACGCCAGACAGTAAGAAAAAAGAATATATCGGTACAAATGTCATCAGATTTCTACGACTCGAGATATTTGAGAAAAAATGAAAAGTGATCTTCTAAAATTTCGAAAAAATCATTTTTGATATTGGTTAACGTGACCCAGAGAGGTAACTGAGCGTTAATAATATATATACAATTAAATATTTCAGTATTATTTTCTTCAATTTCCTAAATATGACAAAATATGACATATTAAATAAAAGAAATAAAATATCGAAATGTTCATTGAACAATGAATAATATTGGATTTTTTATTTTATTTTATTTTTATTCGCTATTTAATCGCTTAATTTTTAAAATTTCTGATAAGATAAAATGTCTGAGATCACGGAATCGCCTGAAAACGGGGATACCTTCTCGAAGAAGACTAACATTTGGGAAGATCTGGGTTCGCCGCGTTGCATATTAGCGCCGATGGTGGATGCAAGTGAATTAGCATGGAGATTGCTTAGCAGGAGACACGGTGCCCAGCTTTGTTACACGCCGATGCTGCACTCCAATGTGTTTTGCCGAGATCCTAAATATAGACGGGAGGCCCTTACCAGCACCAGCGAGGACCGGCCGCTGATCGTACAGGTTTGTGTTAATCAGTGTTTGCTGTTATCCAAATAAAATTATATAGATGATTATCTAAATTAAATTTTGCCATTGCCTTATTTTTATATAGATAATAAAAATATGTATTATCTATATCTGCAATCTGCATCTTACAATTAGATGAAAAAAGTATTATTTTTACTAAATTTTCTAAAATAATTTTCAGATAATTTTGGTTTAAAATAGTAGCATATAAAAATACTTACACAGTAGAATTTAAGTAGTAAGCGATAAAAACTTATAAATAAAAATATAAATACATATATATTTTTATATCCCTTTTATAATTTACATTTTTTTATAACTATGTTTGCATAAGCACTCTTAAAAATTATCTAGAAAATTATGTAAATAAATCGCTATATAATTTTATCTTTTATCTAGATATATTTAAATCAAAATCATCTTCATCTCTCTCTTATCTAAGATGCACTTACATATTTTTATCTCATCTTTATATAGCTAATTTTAAAATCATAACATTGGTGTTAATTATAAACAGAGTTGGGTAAATTGATGATTTTTTCAACTGAGTTAAGTTAAAGTTAGTTTTCACTAAATGTCGTGCTGGACGTAATTATTTAAAATGGATTATAAATAGTTAATTAATGAATATTGATGTGAAATTGCATATATAAGCTGAATTTGAAGAGAATTATCGGGAACTCTTGTCAAAAATAATATTATCAACGTGTTTTAGTACTTTAGAGGGAAAATGTCGTGCTAGATTCGCGTAGTTAGCACATTTGTTCAATTTTGATTTTTTAATATAAGAAATGCGGAACTCTTGTTAATTTTTATCAGGAACTATAGAACTATGAAAAGTGCTACTAGAACTTTTAGTATTCTTTTTTAAATTCGTATAACGTCATGCTAACTTCACAGACACGTTAAAGTTAAGATTAAATTAATTGAAGTTAAATCAAAAGTTAATTTTTAAAAACATTATATTAAATTAGAATTTTATTTATTAATTCTTTTAAAATATTTATAATAACAAAGAAATTGATTTTTATATAGAAATATATTTTTTGCTCATTACAATTGATGACAAATAAACATAACAATTAATAATACTTCAATTTAAAAATAATATTAAATTAAAAAAGGTTAATAAATAAAACCAAGGCCAACTAAAACGAGCAATAACAATTACAGTGTCAAATTGTTAAAATGTTAAAACATTTATTGAGACTAAAAACTTAAATCAAATTAATATTAATCGTAATATACATAAATGTTTCGACTGCATGGCAGTCCTTCTCAATATGATAAATTGTTGTTAGATAACAAAATAAAATTTTTACATTTAGTCTCGGATTCGGTTAAAACGTTATATTTTCTATCAATGGCTAAAACCAATTAACGCAGATTGCTAATCATTTGAACTCTCGCTTACAATATTAACATCTCTATTGAAATTTTATAATAATCAGTTTAAGTTTTACAATAATATTAAAGAGCTGGCGTGGTCACATATTATTATTACGTTGTCCATCATTTTCTTTTGAATTTTTTTATGTGATTAGAAGTCAATAATAGTTACTCGTTATTAAATAATTAGCCATAAGTAACTATCATAAAATATATCATAAAAACAAAAACTTACGTACTTATTTTAGCTTTCGGAATATAATTTGTCTTGCAGCGAAATACTATTATTCTTTTTATACATATGTTCTTGATGTGTTGTTTTGATCACCTCAAATGATACTAATATAATAATAAATTAGCACAAAAGATAAACCCTATCATGTCACCGATAATTTTTCTAGGACATCAAAATAACAACTTTCCAATGACTCAATATCTTTTTTTAAATTAATACTATTTATATGTTCCTTGATATGTAACATTTCTGATATTAATCTTTTTTGATAATTACTTTCATAATCTAAAATTTTTGAATTTTCCCAATTGAAAGAATGTGAAAAGTTTAACATATGTTCCGAGATCACTGATAGTTTTGCTGTGTCTGACAATTTTATTCCTACGCTTTTTTAAGACGAGTGCAAAGTTTCCTTTTCGTTTGTCCAATGTATGTAGCTTTACAATCTCTAAAATTAATTTTATATATTACATTAGAGTTATTAAATTGTTCATTTTTATCTTTTTGAAGTTTAATGAAACTGTTCAACCTTTTTATGCATCTGTATCTTATTTTTATGTTAGATTTTTTAAATTGAAGATGCAATTAATTCCGATATTCCTTCAATATATGGAATCACGATAAATTTATTATTTTCATCTTCTTTTATGAGGTTGACTTTGGTTTTATTTATTAACCTTTTTTAATTTAATTTATATTTATACGAGCATAGTGATTTTATACATGTTTATATCTTATAAAATTGTAATTTTTAGACTACTAATTTATTCTTCTTAAAAATAATATATTTATAACTTTTAAAATACAATAATGGTATTCAGGAAATAAAAAATTTAACTTAGGAAAAGATAACTAGTTGAAGTTAAAATTCAAAGCCGGAACTAGACATTTCTGCGCCCGAGGCAAAAGAAAAATGCGCCCCTTATAATAACAAAAAATATTTCTTTTACGGCATGTAAAATATAATAAAAAATAATATTAATTTTTGCAATTTTGCACCCCTTCAAATTTTTTACATGAGGCAAGTGCTTTGTTCATCACATATCTTAGTTCCGGTTCTGTTAAAAATGAATACATTTTAAATTAATTAACAATAAGCTAAGTTAAAAGTTATTAACTTTTTTAACTTTCAACTAATTAACTAATTATTATCCAACTCTGATTATAAAATTATAGTTATATTAAATTAAAAGTGTATTGTGTATCCCTTAAGGGTTTACAAGGCGCTTTTTTCTGATAGGAGCATCTCCCATTAAAATTATTATTATTATATTTATTGCAATACTCCTTTTTCTACATTATTCTCTCTCTTTGCTTCTTTATATTTTCTTCCGGGACTTCGAATTATTTTGTAATTTTTTTTATAGGTGTCATCGTGATCACTTAGCATTTTTTTTCTAAACATACAGAAGGAGAATTTTTTATAAATATCTTTTAGTACTATATAATTTATAAAAATTGTTTAATCAAATATGTACTCAGAAATATTGCGATTATTTTTGTCTAAAATGAATAAATTCTTTTGGATGGACATCCTGAGAATCTAAAAACTTCTTGTGTGTGTGCGTGCGTGCGTGCGTGCGCGTGTACATACATACATATATATTATATATATATATATATATATATATATATATATATATATAATATTAATAAGAGCCAGTATGGTCGAACTCTAATCATTAATTTCCTTATTATTTTTTAAATTCTCTCTGGCGAAGAATACAAATCTATTATTTAATAAATGTATTGAAGTAAATTAAAGTAAATCAAAAAATGTATATATATATATATATATATATATATATATATATATACATATATATATTTATATATATATATATATATATATATATATATATATATATATACTAGCTTTTCGGACCGCGCTTCGCGCGGTCCTCAAAGCCTTTCTATTCGGACCGCGTTTCGCGCGGTCCTCATATAGCCTATATTAAATCCATTTTAACACAAAAAATTAATTCTTTTTTTGTATTACCGCGAACTATTTCCACATTTGTTGTCCGGCTTTCACGAAATTTATATCAAAATAAATAAATTTTTTTTGGATGATTACTATGTTATCTATTTCTTTCTCCCAGATATTTTATTTTACACCGCGTTTTGCATAATTTAAATATTTATTATATATTTTTATTTTTATTTTCTTGTTTATTTTAATTTCCACACAATTTCATATTTTTTAAATATAAAACATTATTTTAGTTAATATATACTTTAAATATTTTTTTCATTACTTAATTATTATATCCTTTTTTACATTTTACTCAATTTTTTTTATTTCTAATGTACCCACCGCTAACCCGCTATTATTAGCTCTCATACAATGTCATAATTCTTCAATTTACAAAATTTCCCTGTATATTACATTTTTTGTAAAACATTTTTCACTTTTTTCAATTAAATGTCCTTGATTGCTACATTCATCAATTTTAATTTTTACACTTTCTCTTTTTGTTGCTCTAGAAAATGCCACATAAAGTTGACCATGAGCAAATACAGGATGTGGCAAATAAATTCCAATTTTTTCTAAACTTTGTCCTTGTGATTTATTTATTGTCATAGCAAATGACACTCGAATAGGAAACTGTCTTCGTTTAAACTTAAATGGCAGTTCCAAATCATTTGTAATTAAATCTATCCTCAGAATCATAACAATTTGTCCTCGAGCAGGACCTGTTATAACTTCTACATAAATTATATTATTTTTCAAATTAGTTATAATAAATCTTGTACCATTACAAAGTCCTTTTTTAGTATTTAAATTTCTTAATAAGATTACTGTAGCACCAACTTTTATTTTAAGCCGATGAACTGGCATTCCAGAAGGTGTCAGTGAATTTAGAAACTCAGTTGGAAAATTTAATTGCTCCTGTGGATCATCACTTACAATACAGTCAATAGAGAGATACTCCTTTTCTTCTCCTTCCATTAGACAAAGAATTTCATCATTAATTTTGAAAGTATCCTCATTTTTAGGACAAAGAATCGTTCGATCTTGATTTTCTCTAATCCTTTTCATGGTAATTCTATCACCAAAAATCTCATTAATAAGAGATTCTTTTGATATAAAATCATGTGGAATTTCAATCGTGTCTAGATTTAGTCCATCTGTATTTGATAATTTACCATCTCCGAGTTGCATTAACCAATTTGCAAATTCTTTTTCTTCCGCAGTTCTCATATTTTGCTGTAATTTAACCTTAATTACATTCCTCCATATAGGGTTGTATTTTACAGTCGATTCAATTATCGCTGTTTTGTGTAAATGAGGTACTACTGGAAGATTTTGTCTGAAATCTCCTGCAAATAAAATTACTTTTCCTCCAAATGGTTGATCATTCTTCATTAAATCCTTTAAAAGTTTATCAACTGCTGTTAAGGCATGTCCAACAGTCATGCTCACTTCATCCCATATGATTAATTTTGCATTGATCAATTCTCGTGCAGCTTGAGAATTTCCTCTAATATTTGATTTAGCTGCATCATCAATTGGAATTGTAAGCTTAAACAGAGAATGATAAGTTCTTCCTCCTTTCAGAAGTGTGGCTGCAATTCCAGTTGAAGCACATGGAAGAACTATTTCATTTCTTCCTCGAATAACACTTAGAAATGTGTTAAATAAATAGGTTTTACCACTTCCTGCAAACCCGTCAATAAAAAACAAACGCTTAAGTTCATTTTCATTTTTAATTGCTCGCATTACTATATCATACACGTATTTTTGTTCATCATTTAGTGTAGATAATAAATAATCACCACGTATTTTTTCTTCATCTACATTATACTCTGTTTCGTAAATATTTATTTCAGTTGGATTTGGTAATTGAAATTTCTCACAACTACTTCCATTATTTATCAGAATTTGTTGTATATGGTTTAACGCCATATTTTCGGGATTTACAACATTATTATTTACAAAGTCCTCAATCATAAAATCTGTGATCAAGTCAATAAATGCGTATGCACATGGGTGCGTGGATACGTGGGTGGGTGCGTGGGTGGATAAATAAAGTGATAAAAATTTGTTAAAATCATATAGTAGCCATCCCGGACAAAATTTGAATACAAATTTCGAAAAAGTCTGTGAATAAATGTTTGAATGCGTGGGTGGATGCATGGGTGGGATAAAACTTAAAAGAACCACACAGCAGCTTTCTCAGAAAAATTTGCAACATTTTTGTACCAATTTCGTGAAAATTGGTCCATAAATGCGCATGCGGTGGGTGAATGCGTGGGTGGAGGTGTAACACTTGAAAAAACCACATCGTCGCCATCTCCAAAAAATTTGCAACATTTTGGTACCAATTTTTACAAAAATCCGTTCATAAATATGCGATTGCGTGGGTGGATGCGTGGGTGGGGGCGTAAACTTAAAAAACCCACACAGCAGCTTTCTCAGAAAAATTTACAACATTTTTGTACCAATTTCGTGAAAATTGGTCCATAAATGCGCATACGCGTGGGTGGGTGCGTGGGTGGAGGTGTAACACTTGAAAAAACCGCATCGTCGCCATCTCCAAAAAATTTGCAACAATTTGGTACCGATTTAAAAAAAATCGGTTCATAAGTATGCGATTGCGCGGGTGGGTGCGTGGGTGGAGGCGTAAACTTAAAAAACCCACACAGCAGTTTCCTCAGAAAAATTTGCAACATTTTGGTACTAATTTCGTGAAAATTGGTCCATAAATGCGCATGCATGTGGGTAAATGCGTGGGTGGGTGAGTGGGTGGAAGTGTAACACTTAAAAAAACCGTATCGTCGCTATCTCCAAAAATTTTGCAACATTTTGATACCATGTGTTCAGAAATATTGCAAAAAAAATTTTTTTTGCAAAAACATACCCTCCTCTGAGGAAAAAAAATAAAAATTAAAAAATTAAAAAAAAAAACCCACAGCAGCCACCCCCGAAAAATTTGCAACATTTTGGTACCAATTTCGAGACAATCGGTCCACAAATGCGGAAGTAGTTCGGGTACAGACAGACAGACAGACAGACAGACGGACGGTGCTTATATATATAGATACATTTTTTGATTTACTTTAATTTACTTCAATACATTTATTAAATAATAGATTTGTATTCTTCGCCAGAGAGAATTTAAAAAATAATAAGGAAATTAATGATTAGAGTTCGACCATACTGGCTCTTATTAATATTATTCGTCTTTATTAGATATGAAGTACACTACGTTTCACTACATTTATTGAAATTTAAAGCATAAATATGAAATTATATTTTACCGATTCTGTGAATAAATATATTTATAGTTTATCAATGAATGAATAATAACGTAACTATATTTTTTAAATATATATTTATATACAGAAATGTTTAGAGCAAATAGAGGATGTTAGTTAAATATTGAAGAGAGAGTAGAGGAAAAAAGAAAATGTTTTTTTTATTTTGAATTTTTGTATATATTTTTAATTTTTATTTTACACTTTTTCCTTCAGCTTTGTGGAAATGATCCAGATATATTATTAGAAGCTGCATGTTTGGCTGAACCATACTGCGATGCAGTGGACATCAATATCGGTTGTCCACAAGCCATTGCAAAACGTGGTCATTATGGGGCATTTTTGCAGGATGACTGGACTTTGTTAAGTAGAATCGGTACGGTATATCCTTTACTTGACTTTAAAAGAGCTTTAATATTTTTACAATAATAAATAGGTCCCTTTGGCATCGAAACATCTCGAAAAGTCTAAAAGATACGAAAAAATGTTTCGTCTGATGATGACCTTAACTTTGATCTGGAGGTCAAATTTGAAGGTCATTTGGTCAACTTTTTTTACCCTATTTTTTATTACATATTCTTGTAGTTGATGAACTGTAGTTCATCAACTACAAGAATATGTAATAAAAAGTAGGGTGTTCCATTTAAAAAAATAAAGTTGACCTTCAAATGACCTTCAAAGTTCTCTAGGTCAAAGTCAAGGTCATCAGATAAAACATTTTTTGAGAGCTTTCCAAACACTATAATAATAGTATATTGTGTATCAAGTGCGGAAAGTTGACAATTGTTCACTCGTGTGGGGTGGTCGCACTCGCCTTCGGCTCGTGCGTCCATCCCCCGCACTCGTGACCAATTGTCAACTTTCCGCACTTGATACACATACTATTTTGTATTGCAAGTGCAGACAAAGTGGCTGTTTCGGCGCGTTTTCTGTGCGCGAGGCGGCTGATCGCACGCCGCCATCTTGCCGCGGCAAGGTGGGGGAATAGCCGGTTTCAATACATTTCCTACGGCTTGAGCCGTATACAATGACTTTTAACGCGGCTCAGCCGTAGATAATGGCTTTGAAACCGGCTTATTCACTCACCGTGTCGCCGCTAGATGGCGGCGGGGGAAATCGGCCGCTTTCGGCACAGAAAACATGCACCGAAAGTGCCACATTGCCTGCACGTGTAATACAAAATATTTTAAGTTAAGTACTTTTTGAATTGTAAAGATTTGAAGTTAACAATTTTTCGTAATAACATAAAATGTAAAATTAAGTTTTTTATACCTTATTAAAGTAATTATACCTTAATACTTTTATGTGCTGAATAACGAGACCAATCAATTGGTATAAAGAAAACACATTGTTGTTTTTAAAAAAATATACTGCAAATTACACACACACACACACGCACACAAACACACACACACATCTATATATATTTCTTGTCTGCATGCAGTGTCAACTTTGAAGAGCGGATTGCGCATACCTGTCACCTGTAAATTACGAGTATTCCCGGAAATCAGTCGTACGGTAGAATATGCTCGCATGCTGGAGAATGCAGGTGCTAGCTTACTCACTGTACATGGACGTACGAGAGAGCAAAAGGGACCGTTAACTGGATTAGCATCTTGGGAACACATCAAAGCTGTAAGGTAGTTATACATTTTTTTTAAATCTTGTAATTTCTAAATATTTGCCTATTAAGGATAATTTTCAAAGTATTTTGAGATCATTTTAACATCTCTGACTTCATTAAATGTCAAAATAACGTCATTTTGACATTTATGATGTCATTTTAATATTTATGACGTCATTCAACGTTCAAATGACGTACGTTTGTTACCTGGAAAAATGTGCTAAAGCCATCTGAAGTAGTGTTTCATCGAAATATCTTTTCATTTTAAAATGACATCCAAGAATCTTCAGTCTGTGCTTTCTCGCCTTTGACGTCATAATCTGCCATAGCTGCTGCATATTAAAAGCTGTTAATGAATTATTATATATTTAATGAATTATTTTAAATATTGTATTATTTTATATTTTACCTTTAATTATTTTATATTTAAAAGAGACGCCGTGAAAATTGCCACCTCTGACGTCATAATCTAACATCATAATCTGACATATGGCTGCATTTTAAAAGCCGTGAATTATTTTATACAGGGTTTGTCAAAAGTGTAGAAACCCCTAAATAATTTTTGTAAAAATGAAAATATCAAAAAACAGTAAAACACTTATTTTGACTTTTCAAAAAAGCTACCCTATAACATGGATACCGATCATCCCCCACCTCATTTGAAAAATCTTCATAACAATTTTAAAATTTTAAGTCGCCACGACTGAGCCTTCACTTGGCCCTTAGTCTAATTAAAAATTTTTAACCCCCCTTTTACCCCGCGTACCAGGGGTTGGAGGATCGGTATCCATGTCATAGGGTAGCTTTTTTTAAAAAATCAAAATACATGTTTTACCGGTTTTTAATATTTTCATTTTTACAAAAATTATTTAGGGATTTCCACACTTTTGACAAACCCTGTATATTTAATGAATTATTTTAAATATTGTATTATTTTATATTTTATCTTTAATTATTTTATGTTTAATAGAGAGACCGTGGAAATTCCCGTGATCGCCAACGGCAATATACAGTGCATGCAGGACTTGCAGAGGTGCATCGAAGAGATTCAAGTGCATGGCGTGATGTCAGCCGAAGGGAATCTGTACAATCCGTACATATTCGAGTCTCGTTATCCCGCCTGTTGGGAGCCTGCTCTGGAGTACTTGGAGCTTGTAGAGCAACATCCAGCACCGGCCTCGTACATTCGCGGTCACTTATTTAAACTGTTCCATCATGTGTACGTATCGATCCTATAATCATGGAAGATCATAAATTTTCACGTAATTCACGTAAAAGCGTGTGAACAGCACTGCTTTTAATTAGAGAGTAGATTTTGCTTAACAGAAAATGAAAGGGAAAGGGATAATTTGGCTACCAACTCTAGCATGGAAGCCTTCAAGAGTGTTGTATATTCCTTGAGGGATCGTTACTTACCGTATCACGAAGGACAGTTGATATGGCAGACAGAAAAGACAGGTAATTAATATTATTAGCATATTTCTTTACAGGGAGGTTAAAAGAGGAACAAAAGGAATTTTGAGATCTCAACCATAAGATACGAATTCTTAAGTTTCTTAATTTTCGCAATAACATCGCGTTTGGCTCTATTGGTCGAGATGGAGGTGTATATTATCCCAAGTAGAACAGAAAATCAAAATAATATCATTTTGATTTTCTGTTCTACTTGGGATAATATACACCTCCATCTCGACCAATAGAGCCAAACGCGATGTTATTGCGAAAATTAAGAAACTTAAGAATTCGTATCTTATGGTTGAGATCTCAAAATTCCTTTTGTTCCTCTTTTAACCTGATCAATGACGTCAAATTGACATTATTTTGACGTCATCTTGACCAAATTTGAACTCCAAATTTGAACAATGACGTCAAAATGATATTATTTTGATTTTCTGTTCTACTTGGGATGTATTAATATTATTAGGTTGGTGCAAAAATAATGTCGTTTTTTCTCATTTTTAATTTTAGCACTTTAGTTCGTCAAAATTTCATTCAACTATGTTTATATTATCCCACCCAAGGAACACAACGCAGTCAAAATGACATCACTTTGACGTCATAATTATATCACGATAGAAAGTCAATATGATGATTTTTGGTTTCAAAATTTGATGATTTGTTGACGTTAAGAAAACATCAAAAAGGCATTTTATTGTAGTAATATAGGAACCAAAGCGGTCTAAGAGCCGGAGCACAGACTTTGCATAATGCATAAGAGAATCAACTATTAGAGTCCTTTATTTCTATCTTTAGGATGAAAATCCTGAAAATTTAGAAAATGAAGGATTCTGATTGATGATTATTTATATTATGTAATTGTCTGTGCTTCGCGGTCCTATACGAGTTTTCTTTTTTATAATATATAAGAAGATTGATGAAAATATAACACATTATTTATTAAAATCTCAACGGCAATCGGAGCCTGTGCGGACGACATGCACAAAATTAATAAATTAAAATGAGATCTCAAATCAAACTCATTTATTAAATTCTAAACGTTTCGACCCACTTCGGGTCTTCTTCAGTAGCTGCAAAATACAAAGAAACAAAAATAAAAGATAATCGGTACAAACAGAAAATTATAAAACTCATATACATACAATCCGCAAATAAATTAAATATCATTCTCCTCCCTATTCAAACCGTCCGGCCGTCGGAGCGTCTCCCTAACGGTGACCATCGTCAGGAAGGAAGCAGAGCAGTGACTCCCTTACCAACACTAATCAACATAGTATAGATTAAACGTAGAAAAATCCACAAAAATTAAAAATTAAAAACCGGGAAGTACACTCACCCCGACAGTAAAAACAGAGAGAAGACGATGCTACACGTGACACATCACTCTAACGACTGTGCGGTATTCTACCTCGACACAGTCGATACATATATACGCAAAAAACAAATATAAAATATAAAAATAAAATATGAAAATAAAAATAAAAACAACTAAAACTTATCGGCACTCATGTCAAAGGTCTAATAAAAAAACCCGGCTATGTATAATCACAAAGCTAGATTTTGGTAAATTTTTCTATTAACAGATCAAAATTCTCGTTTAATTTATCAGTGTCGCTATGTAAATTTAAACTATTCCTCTGCCGTTTTATGTGGATCATTTCGGATATCAAACGTTTACCTAAAAAAGGCTCCTCGTCTAAGACTTTTACATCCTCCCAATTAAATTCATGGTTCAATAATCTATGTTCCGATATGACTGATAATTGTGACGCGTTTCTTTTTATGTTGTTGCGATGTTCTTTCATCCTAGTTTTCAACAATCTACCCGTCTGCCCTACGTACGACGCATCACAATCCATACAATCAATTTTATAAACTACATTGTTATGGAGTTCCCTTGGTAACTTATCCTTGTGTACTTTAATGAATTTACGGAGACTGTTAATTGCTGTATAGGATGGAATGACATCCAAATCACGTGTAATGTCCTCAATTCTCTTCGATACATTATTAATATACGGAATATTAAAGTACGAAACTTTTTTCTGCGTAAGGATCTTGTCATTGCATATATTTGCTCTATTGTTATGCAACTTATTATTGTAGCGGAAGAACAACTTTTTTAACCGCGCTTGTAATGTTTGAAATATCAAATTGAGAGGATAATTATTAGACAAAAGAACTCCAATCATAGACTCAAAGTTACCTTTATGGAATTTCGGATGAGATAGCCAAAAAACTCTATCAATGAGGCTGATAATGGTGCCTTTTTTATGACAGAGAGGATGCTGCGATTCAAAATTTAAATATCTGCCTGAATACGTCGGCTTATGAAACAAATCAAACTCAATGCTCCCATTATTTATAATAATGGTGACGTCTAAAAAATTCAATCGGTTGTCAACCCCCTCCTCCATGGTGAACTGCAATCTAGGATGGAAAGAATTGAAAGTGTTTAAAACAATTTTAAGCATGGAGGGTGGGGCCGCCAACGCGATATCGTCAATAAATCTAAAATAAAATGGAAATGACATTGGAATCGCAGCAATCGCTCTACTCTCCAAATCTTGCAACGTGATATCCGCAATGATCGGTGAGAGGGGGGAACCCATAGGCGTGCCAAAAGTCTGTTGATAACATACATTATTAAACATAAAATAAGTCGAATTCATAATAAAACGAATTGCCAATAAAAATTCATCTCGTGGAATAATACACTCTTTTTCAATATACCCCCATCTGTTAATTAAACTATCAATAGCCATATCCAATGGTACATTGGTGAACAATGATGCAACATCTAGTGAAACTAGCTTCACATCACTATCCACACATAAACCATTTAATTTGTTCACTAATTGGAAACTATCAGAAATCAGAAAAACTCTCTGTCATAAAAAAGGCACCATTATCAGCCTCATTGATAGAGTTTTTTGGCTATCTCATCCGAAATTCCATAAAGGTAACTTTGAGTCTATGATTGGAGTTCTTTTGTCTAATAATTATCCTCTCAATTTGATATTTCAAACATTACAAGCGCGGTTAAAAAAGTTCTTCTTCCGCTACAATAATAAGTTGCATAACAATAGAGCAAATATATGCAATGACAAGATCCTTACGCAGAAAAAAGTTTCGTACTTTAATATTCCGTATATTAATAATGTATCGAAGAGAATTGAGGACATTACACGTGATTTGGATGTCATTCCATCCTATACAGCAATTAACAGTCTCCGTAAATTCATTAAAGTACACAAGGATAAGTTACCAAGGGAACTCCATAACAATGTAGTTTATAAAATTGATTGTATGGATTGTGATGCGTCGTACGTAGGGCAGACGGGTAGATTGTTGAAAACTAGGATGAAAGAACATCGCAACAACATAAAAAGAAACGCGTCACAATTATCAGTCATATCGGAACATAGATTATTGAACCATGAATTTAATTGGGAGGATGTAAAAGTCTTAGACGAGGAGCCTTTTTTAGGTAAACGTTTGATATCCGAAATGATCCACATAAAACGGCAGAGGAATAGTTTAAATTTACATAGCGACACTGATAAATTAAACGAGAATTTTGATCTGTTAATAGAAAAATTTACCAAAATCTAGCTTTGTGATTATACATAGCCGGGTTTTTTTATTAGACCTTTGACATGAGTGCCGATAAGTTTTAGTTGTTTTTATTTTTATTTTCATATTTTATTTTTATATTTTTATATTTGTTTTTTGCGTATATATGTATCGACTGTGTCGAGGTAGAATACCGCACAGTCGTTAGAGTGATGTGTCACGTGTAGCATCGTCTTCTCTCTGTTTTTACTGTCGGGGTGAGTGTACTTCCCGGTTTTTAATTTTTAATTTTTGTGGATTTTTCTACGTTTAATCTATACTATGTTGATTAGTGTTGGTAAGGGAGTCACTGCTCTGCTTCCTTCCTGACGATGGTCACCGTTAGGGAGACGCTCCGACGGCCGGACGGTTTGAATAGGGAGGAGAATGATATTTAATTTATTTGCGGATTGTATGTATATGAGTTTTATAATTTTCTGTTTGTACCGATTATCTTTTATTTTTGTTTCTTTGTATTTTGCAGCTACTGAAGAAGACCCGAAGTGGGTCGAAACGTTTAGAATTTAATAAATGAGTTTGATTTGAGATCTCATTTTAATTTATTAATTTTGTGCATGTCGTCCGCACAGGCTCCGATTGCCGTTGAGATTTTATTTTTATTGTAACACAATAATTCGAGCCGAGATTAACTGTTTTTACATTATTTATTATCTAATAAAACATGAAATTGCAGGGCCAGCGTAAAATCGATCATTTTTTTGTCACTGAGCAGCATATGTAATGATATCATGATAAAAAAAAATCAAATTTTCGTCACATGAAAAATCATGACTATTTCGAATCAAAATAAAATTATTTTGACTTTTTCTTGACTTTAGTGTGTTTTTTGGGCAGGTAGCAAGCATACGCCATTTTGACGTCAATAATATCATTAGACGTCAACATGACGTCATTTTGACGTTTAATGATGTCATTTTTACATTTATGACGTTATTTTGACGTTTAATGATGTCAGTTTGCTACTTGAGACACCATGTTTTTTTTATACACAAACTTTGCTCTATTTATTTATAACATTGGTTATATTATTAATGCCAAATTGTGACCAGTTTAAACTAGTGAAACAGAAATGGGAAAACGGAAAAATTGGAGTAATTCTTTTGTATTAATTAATACTTATTTAAACATTAAAACTAAAATTAAAACTAACACTTATTTAAACATCTTGATAGTTTCTTGTAGGGGAAAATCTTTAACAAGCAGTAGCTGAAAGCGTCTTTGAAGAAGTCATTAATTCTAGAACTCCAGATTTTTTTATTTGAATAAACAAACTTGTTTCTTGTTGGCAAAAGTGTAAATTATAATAGTTCTTATTTAGATTAAAAAAGTTTATTTTGAGCCAAAATAAATGCATCCTCACCGTGGTCATGTTAGATTGTGACGTCAGAGGCGAGAAAGTACAGACTGAAAATTCTTAGATGCCATTTTTAAATGAAAGGATATTTCAAATTATTTTCTTGCCTCTGATGTCACAATTCGAACATGGTTGGTCAGGAGCATTAAAGTAATAATTTGATTTAATAACTTAAAAAATAATTATAATAATTTAAAGAAAAAAAATATTCTTTATATTTTATTCATATTTACACACTTATGTGTCCCTTCTAATGTTTTCAGATTACAATTTGGAGTTACCACCATGGTTGTGTCAACCTTATGTACGTGAGCCTCCACGAGAACATACACAAAAGTCACAGGTAAAACAAATGTACAGGGTGTTTCATAAGAAATTGCTGAAACTAATCAGCTGTCATGTTTTAATGCATGGAGTTATTGAGAAAACAAAAATTATGTTGAAAAGAGAAAAGTCTACAGTTTTCAATAGATATAAATAAAATGTTTGTATGGCATTTTATTTTATTGAAAAAAAGTAATGAAAAAAATGTTAATAATCACATAAACTAATAATAAATATTTTTAACAGTGCCAGCTTTAATAGCAGCTATCAAAAAGATCAATAACATTAAAAATGACATGTTAGAAAAAGTTTTTACGAGTTTTTTAAAAGAACAGAATTTTGTATAAATTCAAATTGTGCGCACTTCGAAAATATTATCATTAGTTTAGCTATATGATTATTAGCACTTTTTTCATTGCTTTTTTTCAATCAAATAAACTGGTATACAAACATTTTATTTATATTCACTAAAAATTGCAGACTTTCCAACATAATTTCTGTTTTTTTAATAACTGCATGCATTAAAAAATGACGGCTGATTAGTTTCAGTAATTGCTTATGGGACACCTTGTATATTTTTATACAGTGTATTTTTTGAAATTGCGTCTCTTGTGATTCAATGGGTTTGTTCGTTATTGCTGCACTGATGAACTAGTACAATAAGTTAGTGTAAGACAAATATATTTTGTTTTACTCCAGTGGCGTAGCCAGGAAAAAGTTTCGGGGGGAGCTGTAGCTTTAAATTTGTTATAATTAGTAACTATTAATTACGCACATGGCACATCTGTTTTTGGCAATAATTTAAACGTTTAAAAAAATTATATTTTTTTAAATATTAAAATTAAACTACGAAATTATTGAAACTATTAAGATTTTGGGGGGGGGGCTGCAGCCCTCCCCCCTGGCTACGCCACTGTTTTACTCTAATTTACTGCAACAGTCTGCACTAATTCACTTTTGCTGCATTAGTGCAACAAAAAAAACAACTCAATATTTCTCGAAAATAACAATAAGAGTTTTCAGGAAGATGCACTTCGAAAACGGGAGTATAAAGACGAGGATGGAAACGAAATATCGCGAAAACGTTCAAAAAAGCTGAAACGAATAGCGCGCAGACCGAATAGAGCAACATCTCTCCCTAAGAGAAGCTCAGATCGGTGCCATGCTTGTCCAAATCCTCTGGTTTGTTAAAACTGTCATAACTTTTCTTCATTTTGAATATACATTTTTGAAAAAAATTAATTAATGTTTAATAATAATAATTAATAACAATTAATATTAATAATTATATAGTATTAAATAATAATTTAATTTTTTATAAATTTATTTTTTATTTTAATTAAATTAATTTTCGAGAAAAAATTTCTAATGCGTAATTTAAATTGTAGGGTTTTAAATGCGAGTATAAATTATGTCGACAGTGCTGTAGAAACAAATGTTATATAGAAAATTTAGACTGTGCTGGTCACAGAAATCTAACTAAGACGAGGAGGCAAATGGCGAAGGAATTTGAAGCGAAACGTAAGGGCATTGAAAATATGATGACGCTATGTTAAAATATTTTAAATAAAAAACTATATTTTATATCTAATTGACTAATGGGCTGTTATAATTTTAATTTTTATTCCTCTCTCTGTGAAAATGTCATCTTCCTAAAATTATACGAAGACAATTTTTCGTAAATTTATTTATTGGGATTTTTTCGCACGCATTTATTAACTCTAACAATAAATTAATATTAAACTTAAAGTAATCTGGTTTTTTGATTAGATATCTATCTATATCTATCTGTTTTGTACAATCGTATTTTCCAGAACTATTGAGAGAAAGAGATGAGAAATATTGTAAAAATCACATGATTTACAATATGATAATTTGTACTATTGCTGACAAGTCTGTTAATGTAAAATAACCATTAGACAGACGACGTTGCTGAAGCAATAGATAATAAAAATAATCAATAAGTCACTTTTCTTTGTCTCATCATAAAGAGATACATTTTTCTCTTTCTTTTTCGATGCTGGCCGAATATTTCTTGCTTAAGAGTATCAGCAGCATCAATAAAGGTAGATGAAGTAACGAAAATCGAAATAATCTTCTAGAACTAGCACTGTCCGAGTGATTATTGAACTTCCAAGCTAAAAGTTAAAAGTATTATTTAAGCATTAAAAATATCTCGAGTATACATACATGAGTGTATATACATATACATATACTTAGATACATATTTTATAAAATAAGCTCAATTATAAAATTTTTTAATTTTTTGTTGGTGTTTTATAAAAGAAAAAACTAGAGCTTTTTGTAAAAAGATTGAATTCATAAACTTTTTGATTATTTATATATACTATATATAAATAATTATTTATTTATATTTAAATTTTTATTTATATTTTAAATATATATTTAAATATTTCATATTTATATTTTAAATTATATATAATTAAGTATATTTATATTTTTAATTATATATACTATGTATAAATAATTAAATATTATTAAAATTGTTTATATAATTGTAATAAAGTAAGAATTTTTTTTTATAAAAATTTTATCCAAAGCATAATGTTACCTAGATAAAGAAAAGCTGCGTTGACTGGTGTTGAAGCCAATGCGAACCACCAATGAGTTAAATCCAATATAGGAACTAAGTAACACAGAGTCATTAGTGCTATTGTATATCTTACAGTCGTTCTACGACATAAATTTGGGTCTGTAACAGCCATCATTCGATAGCCAGCTCGTGAGTAATCCGGTCTCAAGTTCCATGAAAGAGCATTAAAGTGTGGAAATTGCCACATGTACAGAATACCAGGTAAAATCCAAGCACCTGGTACGAGTATATCACTAGCACAACCTGCCCAGCCCATGAGAGGAGGTATTGCTCCTACTGCAAAAAAAAGTAAGTTACAACTGTTTCAACAATGAAAAAATGTTGAAGGTAAAAAAAAATTGAAGAGTATTTAGTATGTCTCAAAATAAATTAAAAAGTTTTAATAAACATGGCTCATTTTTGAGATATTTGCAATATTTCATGTAACTTACTTATAATTTGATTCAACTTACCTATATTCACAATAAATAAAATAATAAAAGATAAAATAAATAAAAAATTGTAAAAATAAACTATATAAAAATATATAAAATATACATAAAATATATATAAAATATATATTTTATAAAAAAATAAAAATGTCTCAAAACTGGTTTATTTGTAGACTCAATATTCATTAAGATTCTTCAACTTGTTTTTGGATATACTAAATCTCTTTAAAATATTTTATCCTTTTTTTCCTGTATATGTAGAAAGCATACTCACCAACGGAACCAATCCATGTGTTGACAATACTGATGCGTTTCATAGGAGTGTAGAAACATGTATATAAAACAATATTAGCAGCACCTAGCATTGACGTCACACTGTTCACTTCAAAGTGGAGTATCGATAATCCAACAATACCAGACACCGCTGCAAATGCTACTGCATGAGCAGGCCTAACAATATTAATGAATTGTGTTATACAATTTAGTATAGATTTTTTAAGTCTTGAAAAATCGTATCTAAACACAACTCACGTCAAATGACCACATACTAATACTCGATTTTTCGTCCGCGACATTTGCGCATCAAATGGAACCTCAAAAATTGATTAATCGCATTTGCTGCAGAGGAGACTAAACCTGTGCCAAGGGAACACATTGTAAATGTGTAAAGATCAAATGGCGCAGGGGCTAATGCATATCCTGCCATAGTTGTTAGGACAACAAGAGCTGCAAGTAAAGTAATTATAATATATAAATATAATATATATATATATATATATATATATATATATATATATTTTAATAAAATTTTATATATAATATATATATTAAATATAATAAAATTATATATATAAAATATAGATAAATAATACATAATTATTGTAATTATATAATTCATTTATATCACATACTGTTTTAATTGAAGTTTTTTCTTTACAATTATATAATTTAATATTTTAAAAAATACAATTTAAGTTTGTTATACATACATGTCAACTTGATCTTTGATAATTTGAGGTAGTGCTTCTGAAGCATAGCATAATCGATTGCTATAGACCTCCATTCTGGCTTTTCTACTTTATATACATCCTTCTTCACTTCACATGCAATATTTTTTTCAATAGGATGAGAAATTCTTGAAGTCACCGCACCAATTTGCATTTGATCATATTCTATTGTTTGCACTGGATCCTCTATAGGTAATGCTTTTATCGACTTTAGTCTTTGGAAGCCGGAACACTAAAATTAAAATTTCCTTAAAAATATAGAGTGGTATAATATAATTTTTAAATCAATTTAATGCTACAAACCGTGGTAATGGAACATTTTGGTATAAAGTTGCAGGATATGTACCGACATATTTTTATTGGACGAAGAACAAATAACATGATAAACCTAAAACTAAAAGCTTATTAATTACTTATTTTCATTTTAACTAATTGAAAAATAAAATAATTAACAAGTAAAAAATAACCTTATAATCTACATACAAACTTATCATAACCTATAGCTTTAGCACAACTCTTAAATATATGTGCAAGGACTTGCGTTCATACGAATATTTAACTAATAATTATAATTTTGCGCTTACTTTTTTATATGTTAACATAATTTTTATCGTTAACATATATTTTCTGTTACATAATAGTATCAGAGAGAAGATGAGAGCGGCCAGGCCGGCGTTTTGGCTGTTACCGTTTTTACGGGACTGCTTGAAGCGCCCCTCGCACCCGTTTTTATATCGGAACTAACTGCACACCATTTTCTGGCAGGGTCGATAAAGTTTGTATTTGGTGCGAGTCCGTGCTACGCCCATAATTTTCGTGTTAACACAGTATCACCACAGATTAATAGACAGATCGCCAAAGGCCTGCCTAAAGAAGAGACCGCCATCTTCGTGCGATAGACTTTGCCCCTTACCGACACACTTTGCCTCTGGTTCGAGTCCGTGCTAAATTTCGTAGACTTGAACCAAAAGACTTTGCCCCTGGTTCGAGTCCGTGCTAAATTTCGTAGACTCGACCAAAAGACTTTGCCCCTGGTGCAAGTCTAGGCTAAATTTGTTTGACATTACCAACAGACTTTGCCCCTGGTGCGAATCCAGGCTAATTGATCATGAGACCAATTTGAAAGATTTGGCCCCCGTTGTGTGTGTGTGTGTGTGTGAGAGAGAGAGAGAGAGAGAGAGAGAGAGAGAGAGAATATTTTACATATGCATATATATATATATAAAATTTATTAAATATAAAAAATATATTTTTACACATAAAATGTTTTTTTATTGAAATAATCACGATTTTAAATGTGATTTAACACAGTGTTCAAAAATTTTTAATTAAATTTTTTAATTAAATTTTATTAAAGAAAATTACTTGAAATTTTTTACATTAAGAATTTAAAGGCTCCTTATTCTCTTGTAGAAATTTATCACTACGCCAATTAATCACTTATTTCGAGTATTTAAAATACTATAATATACAGTAATTTAAGTATTCGAAATAAAAGTGATTAATTACTCGAAATAAGTGATAAATTGGCGTTACTAGTAATAAATTTCTATAAGGGTTGAAATAAAGTATAAGAGATAAATAGGCTATATGTGAGCCGTATGCGAAATGTGAGATGTAAGACGCATATTAAAATTTAATTTTTCGATATAACTTTCAAAAATGTACACGAGGTACAAAAATTAGCTTGGACATTTGTAAGACTTAAAATTGGGATTAATTCTCAATTCTATTAATTAAATTTCGATATAACACACCTTACATCCGCGCACGGCTCACATATAGCCCATTTATTAGTGCAATTTTTAAGTTCCTTATTTTTCAAAGTTCACCTTTTTACGTTATCAAATATTTTTGGTACGTTTTCAAGAATTTTATATTTTTACTTACCGCAGTTTCTTATCCAAATGTAAAATCTTTTATCGCAGTCTATAAAAATTGAAACAATTTACAATTTTATGATATAATATTATTATTATTACAATTTCTATATATATGCACATCTGTCAAATATCGTGATTTATTTCACATTATTATTATCTATTTTAATAAAAAAAAAAAAAAACACTTGCAACAATCAAAAATAAACCGCCTGCCGCGAACGGAAAATGCCAAGAAAGCACGCAATTTCCGCGAATCTCGTAATTTTTTTGAAAAATCAACAATTTCAACGAAATTGTAAATTCTTCATATCATTGCACAAGTATAATTCACAATAATAATTTTCAGTAACTACGATAAAAAATCGTATACTGAAAACCGCAAACGAAAGTGCAATGGGAGTAAGAGTAAAGTCTGTGATAAATTAATTGGCAATAGAAAATTAATAATTTTCAAATAGAAAAATTTTGAAATTACCGAGGATTTACAAATAATAAAGTAAAAATATTAAATAATTTATGTTTTCGAATTTTGCTCGTGGAGAGGATCTTTAAAACAAGATTTTTAGAAGAGAGGACCTTTAAAATATAAACAGGCAAAAACGTTGGAAAAATTAAAGCGCGCGTTTAAACAGATAACGCAATGAAATAGATACGCAATTGTTTTTACTTATCGCTGTAAGCTCACAAGCTTCTGACGTGCTATACACTTTTATATAATACAGGGTAGGCCATTTTAATCTTTCCACTAAATTTCTCAAAATCCAAAATTAAGCAAAAATGTTTCAGATAAAAGTTGTATGGTTTCAGGGGACATGAGATGGTGTCATTGATTTGACCTTGAATAGCCATTGAAGTTCGTAAGGTCAACTTCAATTTCTTAATGAACACTATATTTTTTTCTTTTCTTGCATATTTTTGTTACCCATACAGCACCCTATAGATGCAAAAAACTTTACAACAATCTTTCAAACCGCAATTTGCAATAAGTGCAAATTCACTGCAAAATATTGCTACATCATTGCTGTTAATTGCAGCAATTTTAAAATGTCCGCTTTTGGAAGATTGCAACAAAATAGTACAACAATATTGGCAATATGTTATGAGTTTGCAATAATGCATTGTTATTGCAACCATAAACTAATGTTGCATATACAGTATATAAATGTAATAAAATCATTAATGAAAATACGTTGTAGTTAATTTATATATATTACCATATTAAATTATAGAATTTGGATTAATGCAATATTTCCGAAAATATTATGTCATGTTGCTACAAGTGTGCTGTGAATTTTGTGCACTTATATCTCTTCAATGTCTTTATAATGTTGCATTGCAACTTGCAACATTGCAACGTTGCTGCAAATAATTGCAATAATCTGTGCTGTATGGGTACTTAGCTGACTTTCGAGATCTTTTCCAAAACACTACAATAAAATTTTTTTCATGAAGTATTTTTCGAGTTATTAATTAAGGCTGCTGCAAATTTGCAGTATTTTGACATAAAATACAAAATATCTTGGGAAATATTCATTTTCGATTATCATACCTTAATATTTTTTATGCACAGAATAATGAGACGAATCAATTGGTGTAAAGAAAACACATAGTTTGTCTTAAAGAAAAATTATCTAACTGCTTATTGCAATTTTCATATTTTTTTTTAAAGTAACTATGTGTTTTCTTTACATCAACTGATTTATTCTGTGCATAAAAGTTTAAGGTTGATAATCGAAAAATAATATTTCCCAAGATATTTTTGTATTTTATGTCAAATACTGCAAATTTGCAGCCTTAATAACTCGAAAATACTTCATGAAAATATTTTTATTGTAGTGTTTTGGAAAGATCTCGAAGTCAGCTACAAAAGTATGCAAGAAAAAATATAGTGTTCCATTTAAGAAATTGAAGTTGACCTTCACGTACCTTCAAATGGCTATTCAAGGTCAAATCAATGACACCATCTCATGTCCCTCTTGAAACCATACAACTTTTATCTGAAACATTTTTGTCTTAAATTTTTGGATTTTGAGAAATTTTAGTGGAAAGATTAAAATGGCCTACCCTGTATATACAGGGTGTCCGGTAACTAACGGACCAATGATTAAGGGCGGATTCTCTGGCCAATTTGGAGACGATTTTTTCCTTAGCAAAAATGTTGAGAAGTCAATAATTTTCGAGTTATAAGCGATTGAAAAAAATAGGTTTTTTGAAAACTAAACGTTTTTGGAGTTAAAAGTCTAACATAATTACATTCTTCAGTTAATTTCAGGTAGAGTTTACTATAATAAATTTAATTTAAGGCTTAGTTTATAAAGATACATAATGACAAAGATTGGAAAGTTGTAAAAAATGATGACCTTTTTCGACATTTTCGCTGAGGAAAATCGTTCCCAAATTGACCAAAGAATCCATTTGTAATCATTATCTGTTAGTTACCGGACACCCTGTATATTGGACACGATTTTCGTTTGTTTCAGATTCTCGAGAGTTGAAGTAGGAACATACGAGTATCATATATCGTTTGTGACTTGCCGAATGAAAGCAAGACAGAGAGCGAACGAGATGATGAGCTTAATAGCTCATAATGTTATAAATAAATAAATAAAAATTATAACCTGACCTACTATTATTGAATCTTTTTTAATAAAATGTTTCATTTTATTATCATCTAATTCTAAGTCGTTTAATTATACTTTTTTAGTTTTTTTAATAATTAATTTAATTTATTCTATCATTTTTATATGAGAAAAATAATATCACGTATACGTTTTATATAATGAATTAATATATTTCGGGAACCGAATTATATATCTTAATAATATAAAGTGTTCAAAAATTATATTTGACTTTTAATTTTAAATTATTTTAGCAAAGAGTTCCGAAATCTCTTACACACATAATGGGGATTTTTTTTCATCCATATAATTCGCATTAGTATATATGTTAATTATTAATTTTAATAAAATAAAATTAAAATTAAGGTCAAATATAATTTTTAAACACCAAATATATTAAATTAATTATAAAACGTATACCCATGATAGTATTTTTCTCGTACAAAAATAATTAGAGTAAATTAAATTAATCATAAAAGATTAAAAATTAATTAAAGAATTTAAACTTATATTTTATATAATAATAATAAAACATTTTATTACGTCAAAAAACCGTCGTGAAATAATTAAATAAAATTTGCTAGTTACGACGTCAAAGTCAAGTTTTCTAAGCTTATAAAACATTTTATTAAAAAATAGATTCAATAAATATAAGTACATGTTATATATATACTTATATTTATTGAATCTGTTTTTTTTATAAAATGTTTTATTATTATCATATATAATATAAATTAATTTAATTATTTTTTTTATTTTTTTATGAGTAATTTAATTTATTCTAGTTATTTTTGTACGAGAAAAATACTATCACGGGTATACGTTTTTATAAACGAATTAAATATATTTATGTTCAAAATTATATTTGACCTTTAATTTTAATTTTGTATTTTATTAAAATTAATAATTACCATATATACTTAATTGCGAATTATATGGATGAACAAAATCCCTATTATTGTGTAAGAGATTTCGGAACTCTTTGCTAAAATAATTAAAATTAAAAGTCAATATATATTTTTGAACACTTTTATATATATTAAAATATATAATTCGACTCTCGAAATATATTA